GCCTGCTCCATGTCTCCCGCCCGACCCGCCCTACCATCGGTGGCCGGGCTTTCAGCCTCTCTACCCCCACACTCTGGAGCTCCATCCCACGGTTCCTTCGCCTCGTTTCCTCCCTTGCATCCTTCAAGGCCGATCTCAAGACCCTTCTCTTTGACCGTGCCTTTGGTCCCCCTCCCACCTCTCCGCCTTCCCTCCCCCCTACACCACCCCTCCCCCATGCTCGAGCCCCGACACCTGACTGTTCAGCGCTTTGGGACGTCCTCCCGACGTGAAAGGCGCTCTATAAATGTAACTTGGTTGTTGTTGTTGTTGTTAAGCTAGCTCAAAGTCTCACCACGAGGCTTGAATCCACAAGCTTCTGACCCACAGACAAGAGGATTGAGACACAGCACCGAGTTGGAGCAAAGAAGACAATAACATTCTGAAAAGCAGCTTTCCCGCAATCATTTGCGATGTCCCTTTAATTTATTTCCTGCAGGAATCAGAGGGAAATGAGATTGAAACTTTTTTATTTGCACTGTTTCAGAATCTCCAGACGTTACATCATACAGACCAAAATACCACAAGCACGTTTCTGGAAGTGAGGCTGCAATTACGTACAGCAACTTTCACAGAGAGAGAGAGAGACTCTGTTACTCTGATGATCTGTTGGCCCTTGTGTGACAGAGATCCCACACTGCGTAACGTTAGCCCCACAATTCATTGGCACCCGACCTAGCATTTGTATTGACACCTCCGGAATCTGGGTGAAGGTTGATAGCAATTTTCTTTGCCAACTCTATCTTCAGCTGAATGCTCTGACTCAGGCTTCATGGAATAATTCCCAGCAAAGAGTGGAGGGAAAATAATAATAATAATTCTTGCGTTTGATGTAGCGCTTTTCACGTCGGGAGGAGGTCCCAAAGCGCTTCACAGAACACACTGTAAAGTGAATTGACTGTATATTTGTGGGCGAACGCGGCAGCCAATTGCGCACAGCAATGTCCCGCAAACAGTCGTCGATTGAAAATGACCAATTTACTGTTGTTTCAAGGGATTCAAGGGATTGGGATCAGGGCTTGATGGAGAGGGGATGGGGAAAGAGCAGGGGATTGGGATTAAGAACAGTCGCCTTCATTGAAGGGTCCACACACTCGGAATTCATACACACGCACGCACGCACACGCATAAAGTGCTCAAGCCACCCAGGGCTGGGCTCAGATAATCGCTTCCCACCTCCTTCAGTGAACGGAGAGTGTGAGGGGGTGGGGAGGAGGGAGGAGAAAACTGCAAGGATGGGACAGGATCGGAGGAGTTGGAAATGGAGGTGCAAATCGGCCGCAATGAGGAGATGCTCAACAACTGCAACAACAACAACAACAATAACAACTTGCATTTATATAGCAGGGTAGCGTCCTGGAGCACTCAGCCCAGAAATTGGGAGGAGAGGGAAAAGGGAGGAGGGCATTTCACAAATTTATAAGGAGATGCGTGTGTGTGTGTGTGTGTTCGCGTGTGTGTATTGTGTTGTGCGTGTTGTGTGGTGTTTGGCAACCCGTTCTCTTTCCTTAGCCATCCCAATGCATTTAGGAACATTGCAATTTTCACCCCACAATTACTGCGGGTTTTTTTGCTGCTTGAAAATAAAGGCAGGTCCCTCCATCCTGGCTCAAAACAAATTGATCTCTTTTACAGAGTTCAGTCAACACGAGAGGAACTTTCCCTGCTTCCTGGCTTAATATGAGCTATGTGCCTCCCAGAGAGAGAGGGGAGGTCAAAGCTGCTAATAACGTTTAATTGCCACACTTTGCGGCCACCCTTCCCCCTACCCCCTCGCTCGCTCTCCTCTGGAAACAGGAAGTGTACCATATGGAACCAAATCACATCAACACCTTGCCTGTTTCAATGTTCCACCTTCTCTGCCCCATTTAATTGCAATGTTTTTTTTATTTCTTATTCACCTTTTCTTGAAAAAAAACTCTACTAATAAAAACACACTGAAAGCTTTAATTTGCAAACTTCCCCTTTGCCCCCCGCCCCCTTCCCCCCTTCCCCGGGGAAGGTCTTGACGTCTGACAAAACAAGGCTAAGAAATCGCGAAGGAAGAGACAGGAAGTCAGACCCGAGCGATCGGGGGCGACCGATAATTGGGAGGTCAGGAGCAGCACAACATCACTTCCTGTGGCTGTTAGCACATTGAAGCTACTAACCCCAATGGCTGCCAATGGCCGGAATCTACAATGGATGGACTCAGGGACGAGACCGTCTGCAGGCCCAACTATCGGCTCCTTCAAGGTGTTTACGTCATAATAATGATGATGCTTGCACTCGATATAGCACCTTTCACGTTGGGAGGACATCTCAAAGCCCCTCGCAGGATTTACTGCGATTTGTAATGATGACTACATCAGCTGCCCAGTGATTTAAGGGTCTCTCGAAGTTGAGGTTTGGGATCAAATCTGATTCTGCCCTTAGCTGATCTCCTCACACCCCCTGTGTGAATTGGTCACTCAATCCACGAGTGTGTTGGGACGCTGCTGTGCACGATTGGCTGCTGTGTTTCAGCCACAAAATACTAACGTTTACAGCATATTCTGTGAAGCGCTTTGAGACGGCTCAATGATGTGACAAGGAGCTGTATCAAATGCAAGGACTATCATTATTATTATTATTAGCTCAGGAGGGGAAACCCTGGCTAATCTACTACTCCCTCACTTTCACCAACCAACCCAGGAGGTATTGGGGCTAACTCCAGTCAGACCCATCACACAACACACAATTTGGCTGAAGGTTGGGGTTGGCTGAGGGTAACCTGGTGGGAAGGTGGGGGGGAGTGAAGCAAACTGTGATCTTGAGTCTTGCTGCATCTCGCTTGTCAGTAATGTGCTGCTCGATGCTAGGGGTAGGGGGGGTGGAGAGGGGGGGCAGGAAGGAAGAGAAGTGGGGGTGTGTGGAGCTCAGATGAAGCTTAATACAGCTGCGCCAATTTCTCCCCCCAAAAAAACATTGCTAAGTGCTGCCATGTGGGGAATGGAGTGTAAATCGGAGATTTTGTGGGTTTGGTTTTGAGGATCCTGTTTTTTTGTGGCTATGAACGAGGCACGGAGTGTTTTATTGCAGTTGGTTGTAAAGCAAGAGGAGCCGGCTTCCTGAGAGAGGCAGATTTATGTGGACAATGTTCACTTGTGACGTGCAGACGAGCCCAGCTCCTGGTCCCCTCCTGCCCCCGCTGGGATTAATAAACAAACAAGCGTGAAATTGTGCATGAAGTTGTACCAGAGAGGGCCTCTCGTCCAGATCTCTTTGGGTTTTCACCTCGAAAAGGCAGAGAGAGAGAGAGAGAGAGAGAGAGGGGGAGAGAGAAAAAAAGAAAAAGAGGACATTTCCCTTCTCTGAACTCAGCAATCATTTGGTTTTGCAAATAAAAATACGGCGACAACAATAATAATAATAATAATCCTTGCATTTGATACAGTGCCTTATCACGTATCCGAGGCGTCTCAAAGCGCTTCACAGGATATACTGTGAAGTGGAGTGACTGTGTATTTTGTGTGCGACATGCGGTAGCCAGTTTAATTTAATTTAGAATGTAAGTTTGTCCCGTGCTGCATTCCCAATTTGCACCTCATTCCCAATATTTGCAGACCTTATTTGCAAATTCTGGATATATCTTATGCCTGAGGGCACAAGTACATATAAACACAAGTTGTTATTGTTGTAGCTTATTGCAAGATGCACCCGCACACCAGGTGGTGGGAGGGGTGGTTGGGGGAGAGGAAAAATTGCTCTCTTTGCATTTGATATAGCACCTCATTACTTCTTCGAGACGTCTCAAAGCGCTTCACAGAATATACTGTCGAGTGGAGTGACTATCGAGTTGAGTCGAAACGCGCACAGCAGTGTTCCACAAACAGTAGTCGATTGAGTGACCAAAATATTTTTATTATTATTATTATTTTGATAGGATTATTACCCTTGGAAAAGTGATCTGCCAATCGACTAGCAACTGGGTTCCTACAAGTTACTGCTAGGTAAAGAGACTAAAATAATAATAAATTGATTCAAAATAATTTTGAAAAGGGCACACGGCTGGGTCGGGATTGAAACTCCTAAGCAGCAGAACATGCGTTTATACACACAGAGCAAATTACAGATGCCCAGAGGTAATGCTCAGGCCTATTTCAGGCAATTTAAATAATTGCTACCTTCTTCAGAGGAAAAATATCAGTGGACAGGCAACAGCCAATTCGCTAATTTTGCTAAATCACCCGCGCCTGGCGCAACAATGCAGGTCTTCATCGCGCTCTGTTCCCGGGGCGACTAGAGAAGGATGATGGATTGAGTTATTACTGTCTGGGCCTGTCACTAAATGTCAGTTTATTGGCCAACCCAGGAGTTAGCACACCAGCGCTTCGTAAAAAACGATCGAGGCAGTGAATCTCGCACCTTGTCATCCCCTTCTTTGCCGTTGTTGTTGTTGTTGTTGTCGCCTAACCCCGTGCCCCCCACCCCCCCCCGCCCACATAGTACACAGTCAATCCACTTTACAGTATATCCTGCAAAACGCTTTAAGACGTTTCAATGACATGACAAGGCGCTACACCAAATGCAAGAATAACATTAATAACAATAATAATCCTTGCACTTGATATTATAATAAATCATAATAATCCTTGGATTTGGCACAGCGCCATATCACGTCTTCTAGACGTCTCAAAGCACTTCACAGAATAGTCTGCAAAGTGAATTGACTGTGTATTTGTGGGCGAGACTCGGCAGCCAATTGCGCACAGAAGTGTCCTACAAACAGCGGTGGACTGAGTGACCAAATTATTGTTGTTTTTTTTCTTGAGGGATTATTATCAGGCGTGCGGAGTAAGGAAACTTGCCCAAGGTTTTGCCCTGCCAGGAATCAAACCCAGGTCTCCGGCTTGCGAGGCGAGTGCTCTAACCACTGAGCTACAGGACTCCACTTATTGCGCCTTATCACATTGTAGAGACAAAAGTGAATTGACCGTATATTTTGTGGGCAAAACATCTTTATTATTGTCTCCAGTCTCCAGATTCTCCCCCACCACCAGCCCCAAGTACGTTCGACTCCCAGACACGGTTTGATCAGGTTCCCAGGTGATGGATCTGAGCTATGTCAGAGCACAGTAGCCTTCTCTCGAGGTGGAGTTTCACACACAGTTACAGGCGTCAGGTAGGCCTAGTTTTGAGAACCAACACCCAGTAACATCCTAGGACGGGTGCTAGAGGTGTGTTCGTTGTAGTTCATATTAATTCAGCTGATAGCATCAGCATGGAACGTGCCCTGTAACCGTGGAGAAGGGAAACACCAGACTTTGTGCCTCCAGACTTTGGGTGTCCAATTGACAAATCTGCCTCCAGCGAATCGCTCAGTGATCAATCCCTCCGCCTTGCCTCCTCTTTCTCCTCTAGAACACGACTGAAGACCCTCCTCTTCACCTGCTCCCACCTCACCGGCTCGGCGGATAGTTTAATTTCGAAATTTTAAAAAAAGGCCAAGCCAATATTCCTTTCCCATCCTGAAAAAAGAACAACACCAAAGCTGAAAAAAATGTTGAGGATTTTTTTTCGTGTGTGTTTTTCCTCCCGTTTTTTTACTTGGGAGCGTTTCCAAATCGTATGAATATTATGTTCCAGATTAGCGGTACCGGATGTTTGAAGGATGGGGTCAGAGGAGTCCATAGGGGGAAGTGGGTGGTGAGGTGGGGGTGGAGAGGGGTTCAGGGGCTGGCTGGTGGGGGGGCGAAATGAGCAAACTGTTCATAGCTCATTGTTTTACTGTCGAAGCGACACACAGCTGTGTACTTCGAAGACCCGAGGCCTCGCTTCCTGTCAGAAAATGACAGACAGGTTTGCCTAATAACGGTCAATGTCAGCCTTACATCTTTAAAACAGTCACAGGTGCAAACGGGCTCTGATGGGGAAGCGCTTTTATGTGAGAAAATGTGGGTGTAAAAATATACATGTGTTCTAAACCTAAAAGAATGTCACTTTGATCTTTCAAGCACAGTTTTTTTCTCAAGGGTTTTGCCCTGTGACAGACAAGCCAGCTAAATGGATATCCCACAGCCTGTGAATGGGTGACCAGAGGTCCGAAATTCCACTCCGTCTCAGCCTGCAACTCATTTTCTTGTCTTCAAAGTTACGACTGTGCAGAATGGTGGAGAGAGTTGTGCCTGTTCACCCACAAAACACACACTCCTCTTTACGGTATATCCTGTGAGGTGATTTTGAGATGTTCTCCCAGTGTGAAAGGTGCTATATCATAGAATATTACAACACAGAAGGAGGCTGAGAAGTCATGAGACTTTGCTGTGTACAAAATAGCCATCGTGGTAATATAGCATTTGATATAGCGGGTTTCACGTTGTGAGGATTTACTGTTTAGTCATTGTGTATTTTGGAGCCGTAGTCCAGCATGCAAATTGACAACAATTACCTGTGAATCATTTGGAGATGTTATGGTGTGATTGGTGCTATATCAAATGCAAAGTACTGTACTGTAACAAATACCCCTTCTATGTAACATCTGACCAACTCTATGTTATGGTTTCATTTTGCCTGAGCGCTGTATACTGCGGCTTTATGAGTAGAATTTGGTAATGGCTATGAGCATTAAATGTAATTCACCATCATTGCGAAAAGATCGGAACATAAACTGAATCCTCCATGTCACCAAAGTACAATTAAGCCAGGGTGGCATTCCTATATCTGTCCTAGCCTGTGGAGTCCTGTAGCGTGTTGGTTAGAGCACTTGCCTCGAAAGTAAGAGGACCTGGGTTCAACTCCCGGGCAGGGCGAAATGTTAGGTAAGCTTCCTTACTTCACTCGCCTCTGTTTACCTAGCAGTAAGTAGGTTGTTTATCGATTGGCGGTTAATAATTCTTTCAAAAATAAAATAATAATTTGGTCACTCAGTCCACGACTGTTTGTGGGGCACTGCTGTGTGCAATTGGCTGCCGCATTTCGCCCACAAAATATAAAATTCACTTTACAGTATATTCTGTGAAGCGCTTTGAGACGCCTCAATGACGTGCTATATCAAATGCAAGGATCATTATTATTATTATTATTACAGCAAATAATGGGGAACAACCTCCTGAGCTGGAGGCTTGAGTGCTACCGGCCGAGCCAGGCTAACGCTGAACAAAGCTGCCCCTGTGGCTTGTTCACAGAAGGGTCCCTCACTCTCTGCAGGTAAGAACAAGTCATCTGGAAACGTCAACTGACCTTTCGGGCATTGAGGTGGTCCTAAGGTTCTAACCCAAACCCCCTGCTCGTCCCTACACACTATGCAGTGGCTGTTAGATCCTCACTGGAGAGAGGATGAGCATCTGAACAGGTCCCCCCCTGTTGGTCTATTTCTGGGTTTTGTTGTGTTTGCACAGCTGTCCGCATGTCACTGAGCCATCCAATGGATTCTGCAAACACCATGTGTGTCTTTCTCTGTTGACTGCTGGCAGCGGTCGGGAGGCCTGGCAGTGATCACTGTAAACGTTGGGAGTAATGGGTTGCCCGGATGTGGTGCATAATAGGTGTGCTGTACAGGTGTATTCTATAGGTATGTTTCACAGGTATGTTATGCAGGAATGTTGCACAAGTATCTAGGCATGGTGTACAGTTATTAAATACATGAGCCCAAATCTAAAGCTAATTTTTCCCTTTTCAGCTCTTCCCCTATTAAGCTCCACCTCAATCCTCTCCAAACCCCCTCCCCTCAAAACCTCTACCCCTCCCCCCATCCCCCTCCCCCCTCCCCACATGGTCGATTTCCACCCTTTAAACTCAGCTATCTTTTATTCTTGAACGTGTGTGGTCCTTTTAACTTCCTCTAACATGTAACTCACATCTGCTAAAGTCACATTGCACTGGTGGGGTTTACAATGAAGAGTGTGTGTGCACACAGGATGAATCCACAACTCCTTCTCAGCTTCCCCCCTTCCCCCCTCCTTCCTCCACCCCTTCTCCCCCACTCCCACCGCCCCCTCTCTCCCCCCCCCCAACCCAGGACAGCTGCACCAGCACAGTTGCAAAGTGGATCTAAGCCAAACCCATGATGTGCGAGAGAGCAACTGTGGGCAAGGGCCACATCTGCTTTCCGTGAGGAAGAGGGTACAATGTGGAAAAGGCGGGAGTGGGGAATGGAAAAAGGGGAAAAATATATGTACATATATTAATAGAAGTGAAATGAGGGAGAGGAGAGATGCACAAGATAAACGAAGTAAGAGCGCAATGTGTTCAGACAATTAAAGGGAAAGATGCACATCGCCCTCGCGTGCTATCTTGATTCTGGTGAAGGAAGAATGTTAGCCGAGTATTTTTTTTCCCAGTTGATGTATTTGGCTGCCACGTTTCGCTCACAAAACCCACAGTCAATTCACTTAACACTAAATTTTGTCAAGACACTATATCAAAATGCAAGGATTGTTATATTATCATGCATCTAATCCCATATTTCCTCAATGTGCTAGTTATTGTTAATAATAACAGTAATAATAATAATCTGTCATTTGATATAGCGCCTTATCACATCGTTGAGACGCCTCAAAGCGCTCCACAGAATATATTGTAAAGTGGATTGATTGTCTATTTTGTGGGCAAAACGCGGCAGCCAATGGCGCACAGCAATCAGTTAAGGGGCAATGTTTTATTAGCCGTCAAGGCATCGGTATCAAGTGCCCCCACTGACCTGCCCTTGGAGTGAGTGTCAAAGGGTGTCTTTGTCACTCATTCATGCGGGGGGGGGACTTTTAGCTGTTTGCGGAGGATGATGGGGCAGCACAGGAGGTACATAAGTCGGTCACAAGATCTCCAGCGCTGTGAATGTAAAGAATTTCTTCTATCCCCCCCACCCCCTCCTCCAAACAAAACCCTCTTAATTTGGACCATCTGGAAGCTGCACGTTCCGTGAGTCAAAGTTTCCAGGTTGGTGCCATTGTCGTTGATGTTAATTACAGCCAGTTAGAAGGTCAAAGAGACTTATGTTGAGAATCCAGAGTCCTTTCATAATAAGTTACCAGAACTGTTAGCAATTCCTGCGGAGGGGGCAAGCTATCAAAGTGACCTTGCGACTGAGACCCAAGGCTACAAATGTTCCCACGGATGATAAATCTAGGCCGGGTCTCAAGGCAGCTCACTATCTGTTTGACTGCAAAAGTAAAGACAGGTGGAGGCAATTCCAGGGAACCGAGCAAGGCAACAGCTGAGAAAGCAGAACCTTCTTGCCCTGGCCCTTGGGCTATTTGTAGAACCCCCACCAGGCTTGGCAGTGGAATAATACAGAGTAGGGAGGGGTGTGGGGAAGGGGCTAGGGGAAGGGAAAACTGAGAAGAGTTAAGCAAGAGATCTTACAGCAATGAAAGCTGCACAAACACAAACTCAAACTTGACATACTGTACCATTGTGATTCTTTTTCACAGATCAGTTCGTCCCTGTATGTATTGTGTCACTCACTTTTTTCTCTTTGTTGCATTCTTACCCTCGCCGTTACCACCCACCCCCCCCCCCCCCCACCCCACCTTCATCCACCACCGCCATCCCTTGCTGGCAGGATGTGGGTCGAGCGATTGCCGATCGACTGCCTGACCCAAAAGGAGGACCTCCCAAAATCCCATTGCCTTACGCCCTCTCTTCCTGCCTTCAAAACCCTCTTGAAAAACAGTCAAGATCCCTTCTCCCAATTGCTTGTTGATCCATGTTGTCTCTCTTAAGTGCTTCGAGATGTTCAACCCACCTAAAATGTGCTACACAAATGCAAGTTGTTGTTCTATGTCCAGATCTTCCACCGTATCACCACTTCTCAGCTCCACTCCAAGGTGATGCTAAGATCCCAGTCAGGTTTTTCTGCAGCTCTGAACTGAGAAGGAGAGCACGGCCAATGTGAGAAGGCAAGCAGGAATGTCAGGGAGCCCAGAAGGTGACTGTTGGTACAACCAGATCTGGATTAAACCCCCTCTGGCACCAGGGGGAAAGGGGTGCACAGACTTTTGCTCCCTTCTAATAATAATAATCCTTGCATTTAATATAGAACTCCATCATGTCTTCGAGACATCTCAAGGCCCTTCACAGAATACACTGCAAGTTGAATTGACTATATTTTGTTGGTGAAACGTGGCAGCAAATTGCGCCCAGCAGTGTCCCACAGACAGTAGTGGATTGAGTGACCAAATCATTATTATTATTACGTTTGAAGGGTTTGTTACTGCACAAAGTGCTGGATCTTTCAGCAGCCCTTTGCAGACCCAGAAACCCTTCCCCCCCAGCAAAACCAAATTTCCTTCACAGCCAAACATCTGGGACCAATCGCAATGATTCTCCCAGCTCCGCTGAACACAGTGTCCGGCCGTTTCCAGCAGTAAATCTCTTGCCCAGCTTTCAAAACATTGACGTTTCCACCGCACAGACAGGCAAGGAGCTTGTTGAACAAAACGACCGATAATTAGCCAGCTCTCTGAACAATGCGGTGGAGTTTAGACCGACTTCCAGCAGCTGAACAGCCACTGCTCTAATTTCTTAACTCGCAGATGTACAGATGTCACATTGTGCCACTCGCAACATGAAAGAGGAGAGCGAAATAAACTGAGACCCTGAGATAGATCAAACCTTCAGGGACGTTTCAAAGCGCTCTCCAAAAGGAACAGAACTCATGTGGCTTAGGGAGAGTGGGAGAATCTCTATCTCTAACCCTGATCATTCATACGCTTTGTGTTTGTCTTTTGTTGCATTCGGTACATTGAGTTAGATACCAAAAAAAAGATAGTGGGGATGAATGTCATGCAACCGTGAGCAAAGGGCAAGCACAAAGGACATGAAATCAGTACTAAGGTGTGGGTTAGGCCTAACTTTTAGGCAATGCCAATTTGGGAGAAATCAGCCCCACTCTTGGGGCACAAAATTCCTCATGGTCTCATAGCCTTAACCATTGTTTTGAAATGTAAAATATCAGAGAATTTAATCTTAAACTGGAACCTTAATCTTACTCTGTTTTTCCCCAGTTCTCGAAAATTAATCCACTTCCAAATGAATTTTAAGAATTTTCTCAAATTCCGCACAAACTTGAATGTCAAGACACTCATCTTAAGGCTGAGATGATGAAAGATTTGGGGCCCTCTGATCGCTACCCAACGCTATCCAGTTGCACGGTTAATGTGGGGACCATCACACTAATGATACTCCTAATAATAATAATCCTTGCGTTTGATACAGCGCCTTTCATGTCGGGAGGACGTTTCAAAGTGCATCACAGGTTTAATGTAAAATGTACTGACTCCGTATTTTGTAGGCAAACGCGGCAGCCAATTTACACACTTCAATGTCTTGCGAACAGCCATAATAATAATAATCCTTGCATTTTATATAGTGCCTTATCACATCATCGAGACCGTCTCAAAGAGCTTCACGGAATATAAAGTGGATTGACTGTGTATTTTGTGGATGAGCCATGAGGTCGACAACCAATTTGATCTGGGGGCTTGTTGGCCGGGAAATGATGAGAATCAGATGATGTGAGTTTGGCCACCAAATTCACAAGGAATGGGGTTCAATCTGAATTCCCATCATACACATCACCTGAAGGAAGGTCCATTACAACAGCTGGTGGGTCAGCTTATTCCATCCATTCCCTGCTCCCGTGTTAAATGAATTCTTCACACCAGCCTGAGTGAGTGAAGGCTGTGAACAGGTTCCAGCTCCAGCTTAAACTGACTTGAATGTATAACGAATGCAGAGGCCAGCAAAGCATGTTAGTGGGAATGTGAAAGCAGCCCCTTCCCATGTTCTACAAGAACACGTCTGAAACATGCGTCTTTGTAACTTGGTTGTATCATCTTGGCTCAGTCAGTTTGGCTCAGAAGACTGAGATAAAAGAGTCACATCAGGGCTTGAGCTTGCAGCTTAGGCTGACACTCCAATTCAGTACTGGGGGTGGGGGGGGTTAGTGGGGGTGTGGTGAGGGCATTGCAATTGGTAAGGTGTTGTCCTTCAGATATATGTTAAAACCTCTTGTTCAGGTGAAAGCTAAAAAATAGTGACACTATTGTGAGTTTCTCTCTGGTCAACAATCCTCTAGGTTAATCTCTCAATCGTGTGGGAACTTGCTGGCTCTAAATGGTTGACGTGTTTACCTATCAAAACAATCACTGCACTCACAAGCAATTGCAGCACTTGCAATGAGGTTTGGACGGAATAGGCTGAATCAAAAAAAAACAAGTTCTTTACTAAAAAAAACAACACTTTACAGTAGACTTCAGACTTGAGTGTACGCCTCATTGCTTCGGGCTTTTTGAGTACATTTCCATGGTTGCCATGGGAAGCCTTCCAGCCCTTGATGTTGCAAACACCTTACAGTCAGTCACAAGACAGATCGCTCCTCTGGGAGATAAGACATCCTGCGTGTAATTAGCTTTTTCAAAGCACCAGAGTAGTTGAGGTTCGGGCCTGGTCGTGCTGGGAGTGAGGAACCCAGTGCCTGGACAGCAGCTGAGCTATCAAATTCAGCATTAAATTTCTCAAAGCTACCGTGTCTCTGTTTGTTGTTTTACACCAAAAGGCCTAAACCCACTGAAATGACACGATTTCTCTCAAAGGTTCCGTGTCATCCGGAACCTTTTTCTTGTAATACAAATTGAAAACACTTTGTTGAAGTATCAAATGTGGGTGGGTGGGGTGGGTGGGGAGGATTCACGGAAGGAGTAAGTAGGCTGTGAACTTTGATGTTTTTACGCAGTTTAAAAAGGTTACTCAGGCATCTCCTGGTCCAATGCTGAGACACAGTCATTGAAAGGTCCCATTGAGCCTTTGGTAGTGCGTTCAATGGAAGTAACATAACCTTAATGATTGCTGTAGTTTAGGACATCATTTGAGTTATTGAGTGGTCCCACGTTCCATTGTGATGGGTGCCTGATCTTAGCTGGGTCTACAATCGGACTTAGTACCTCCTGGGTTAGGGAGGGAAGAAAATTAACCAGACTTCCCAATCTGCTACCCAATGTTGTCTGTACCCACCCCATAAGGTTGAATGTATGGGCATCAGGTAAGTTCATGCTGTGGTGCCTCAGTTGATTCCCATTATCCAGTCTCGCTCAGGCAAATCCTGCCAAAAAGTTCCCAACCTGGAATTGGAATGGTATCTCTCCAGCACCAGGTCAAAGGCATTCCCTTCCCCAGAAAACAGATGAACGGAACAGGACCAAACACAGGGCTGCTGCCTTCAGTAATCCCGGTGCGACAGTGAGGGGGAAGAGTTGAGAAAGGAACCTTTTGGCAATTGCCACAAAACCTTCAACCAAAATAGAATTTATAGGTCACATTAAAACTCTTCAGACAATGATAAAAGCAAAGGCTCCTAGACTTGTGTCCCTGTGTAGCGTGTAACAGATACGTGGCTTTAGCAACCTGCATGAAACACAACAGATCTCAGAGTTATGCGCCAACAATGCCTTTCATTAGCGAAGACAGCTGGCTGGGGACCGGAGAGCAAAATGTTGGGATTCTCGGAACTCTTTGATCTTTGACTTTTTCTGAAGCTTCTTTCTATCCTTTGGCTAATTAGAACCTTTGGAAAGATACCTCTTATTGGCTGGAGGGAAGGAAGCAGAGGCTCTCTGTTAGGGGAGATAGGGCAAAATGGGGAGCGATATTAAGGGGTCTGTACTGGGACCCTCTTGTTTCTCCTATATAGTAATGACTTGAATTTTCAGACCCAGTGTAAGAGTAGTTAATTTTCTAGATGATACCATGTTGTGGGAAATTGTGGAATCAAAAGAGGCAGCAAGAGTCCTCCAAAGAGAGCTTGATAGGGTACATATGCCCAGTAGTGCACTGGAGGATCAGCCTAGATCTATGAGTTCAAAATCCCACGAAGGGGCTTGAACCCACAACTTTCTTACTCAGTGTTCAAATGATGTCCTAAACCATAGCAATAAATAAGATTATGTTACTTCCATTGAAAGCACTTCAAATAATTGCGATTATTTGCAATAGACCCTATGAGGGCATCTGTGATAATGAGCTCCACCTGCTCAAAGAAACATTGGTGATGGGCGATCTTCAAATCTGACTTCTAGTGCTCTGGTACACTTCTCTGCGTGATGGCAGCTATATAAATGCAACTTGCTGTTGTTGACTTCACGAGTTACAATTTTGGCTTTGGACTTTACAGTCTGAGCCACAATATTGTGCCTGGGGGAGAGAAGAGAAGTAAAAATGAAAGGTTCAACCCTAAGTAGATTTCGGAAATCCATTGACTGAGTAGCTAGAGGATTTGGCGAAATGTTTCATACGTTCATTTTTCTCGTGCCCTAGCTTTGCTCGAAGCTGCTTCTCCCTAGAATTATGTGGCACTGAGAGAAGCTGGGAGGTGACTGAACAGAAACCAGTATAGCATTTTCCCCACACACACACACACATACACATAACCCCCCCTTTGAGCCAAGTGGTGACTGGAAAAGAGCTTCCCCTCCAGTTGTCCTTCAGCTTCGACTGTGAGCAGCTGCAAGGCTCAACCCAACAAATCCAGGCAACAGAGGCAGCACATCCCTGTCCCCTTCACTACGCAGTTTTTTCCCAAAGTCCTAATGTCATGGAATAACTTCCAACGTGACACATGTTCCTTGCTTAATCACCGTCCCCTGTGCCCGAGGATCAGGGAACGCTGCAATTTGCTGCTCCCTCCAGAAATCCCGGCTTCTTAAAAAGACAACTGCGGGGTCACTCATTCTGTTAGAGCTGGCTTTCTCAGCGTCGGACTCACACACCCTGCCATTCGCTCGCTAGCCCTAGTAGTCTCCAAAGAGACTTTCTACCTATCCTCTGAGTGCTAACAGCACAACAACAGATCGTTCCTTCTGTCCAGGTAAGGCTCTTATGTCTGTGTGCGCATGCGGTTGTTAGAGCAACCGCTGTCTAGCATTTAACTCGGGACTTTGTCTACAGAGTCATATATGTAAAGAACGAAATTGTCAGAGTGATTCGCTGCCAAATGTAGTGGCTGTGTGTTTGTTGGTTAGACCCAGCAGCCTTTTGCATCCGCATGAGATACCGCGCCCAGGCACTAGGCAAATGACCGATTAATGTGATAAGCACATGAGAAGACACTGCTTTCTGGGTTGAAATATTATCATAAGTTGTTTAACATCTCCCCTGAACAAGCAGAGGGGATCTCTTTAATGTCTCTTGCTGAATGATGGTGCCTCTGACAACTCTGTGCTCCTCCCAACACTGCTCTGGATTGTCAGCCCGGTCTAAAGTCTATGAGCTCAGTCCCGACCCTGGGCTCGAAAACCACAACCTTCTACCCCAGAGGCAAGAACGCTTCCGTCTGACACGGAAACATGCTCGGCCCATGAATGGTGTAACTTTATAAATGCTGCGTTAAGAATAAATCAATTGCAGAGAATCGATCCGTGGATGTAAGAGTCAGGAAGGTAATCACCAGCTGTAGTAACAGAACACTGTGACAAGGCGTGGATTTCCAGTGCAGAGTGGATGTTACTCCTCTGTGCTTTTCACCAGTTGCGCTGAGGTAACAGGATACTGCCTTTATATCGGGAGACTTTAAAAATAACTTGGCCCCTTCCCCAAATTGAGGCAAAAGGTGACACTGCGACTGAGCAAAGTATTTGCAGTGTGCAAATCACAATGTGGTTCACACCCTAAGTAAGACCTGTTACTAACTGGAAGAGTGAACCCGCTTGTAACTGGGGAGGGGGCTTTAGGTTGATACACAGACGTGTAGGTTACGCTATTACAGAGCCCCAACTCCGCCTCCCCCGGCTATCAGACTTCAGTTCTTAAGAAACTCTATTTAAAAAAATGTTCACTCATTCCACCACTGTTTGTGGGGACGCTGCTGTGCGCAATTGGCTGCTGCGTTTCGTCAACAAAATATACAGTCAATTCACTTTGCAGTATAGTCTGTGAAGCGCTTTGAGATGTCTTGATGACGTGATAAGGCGCTGTATCAAATGCAAGGATTATTATTAATATTATTAGATGAGATATTAAACTGAGACTCTGTGAGTCCCTTTCAAGTGGATGTTAAAAATCCCATAACACCACTTGAAAAGAGAAGGGAGTTTCTCTCTCGCTCGATCCTTACCAACAGGGAAAATTGGTCATTCCAGTTCATGGCTGTTTCTGGGACATAGCACAATTTGGCTGCAGCGGTTGCCAACAAACTGTACCGTCACTACGCTTTACATTGTATACGGTGAAGAGCTATGAGACATCCTTCCGACATGAGAGCCTCTATACCAAACGTAAGGATTATTAAACCACAGATTATCTGAAGGAAAGGGATCTGCTGTGTGTCCAACTATAATAAGTCTGTGAAACATTCCTTAAACACATAAAGATTTCACCCACAAATAAACAGTCAATCCACTTTACAGTGTATCCTGTGAAGCGCTTTGAGATGTCACAAAGACGTGACAAGGCAATATATCAAATGCAAGGATTATATATTACATTCCCCCACTCCCCGCCACATACACACACACTCTGTTCTCTCCCCCCACTCACCCACACACACACACACTCTGAAGCAGTGAAGATCAGTGACATTTCCTATTTTCTGTTACTATGGCAAACATGCAAGACATTGTGTAACTGAGACCCGGTGTGACAGGTACCAGTATTGCTCTGTGAATTCCTGGTGAGTGAATGACATTCTGTTACAAACTGGTTACTCAACTTGTGGGGAATCTGCGGGGATGTTGGCTGAAGCAGTTGGCTGAGTCCTTTTACCTCTGACAGGCTGACACAATCCAAGTGTTCTTTCTCTCGCTCTCTCTCTTGCTGGCTCTGTGTCTGTTCCGCGCTGTATCTGACTTGGCAGTGCCGGATGGGACAGTGCAGATGGGAGCTCATCTCTGCATCTGTAGCTTGGTGTCAGCCTGGCTCAGCTGGTTAGCAAGTCTCGCTTCTGAGTCAAAAGATTGTGGGCCCCCGGTCGTTAGTCGATTGGCGGATCGCTTTCCGGGGGGAAATAATCCCTCAAAAAAAAATTGGGTCACTTTGATTCATGACTGTTTGTGCTGTGTTTAATTGGCTGCCGGGTTTCACTCATAAAATATACAGTCAATCCGCTTCCATATATTCCATATATATTCTGTGAAGCGCTTTGAGACGTCTCAATGACATGATAAGGCGCTATATCAAATGCAAGGATTATTATTATTATTATTATAAGAGCAATCAGCACTGAAAGGGTTTAAAGGCGCTGCAGAACTGGATGACCGCAAGCTTGTCTAATAAAATTTCAGGGACATTTACGGTCATCTCACCAGGAGGGAGATTTGACAAGTGTGGGCGGTGGATGAGATGTGTTTAGCTTTTAAAGAGAGAGAAACAGAAGCAAATATTTTTATCCAAATGAGTGGGAGCAAAGGAACGAGGGAGGGAGCGATGAAACGAGGGAAGGAGATTGACAGGGCATTGAGGAGTGAGGGAGGTAAAGGAAGGGGGTTCTACAAAGATGGCTTGATATCTTTTACACTGTGTCAGCGCTTGAGGACAGAGATAGAACGAGACGGTAGGAGGTGGAATTGTTGAGAGCATCAAGGTGATTCTCCTGCAGTCTGCCTCCCCTATAATTATCTTTATTGTCTAATAAAGATTTTACAGATCCACATTCAGATTTGGCAGCTGAGCAGAGTAATAACTCAGCAGTCATTACAGAACAATTTGTTTTCTGTCTGTTGTTTCCTCCGAGCCCCAGGGCCTGCAGTTGGGCAGGGAAAGGCCAGGCGTGTTACTGAAACCCTCTTTCAAGCCAGCCACGTAATTTCAGGTTGCGCGAGTCATCGCTCTCAGTACAGGAGAGAGATGAGAGCAGGGAGAGAGGCTGAGCAGGTGGGATCCTTAGAGAAACTGATCCTTCCATCATGGGCTTCTCTACGTTTCTCTCAGTCTCCCTGCAGGTATCACAGCACCAGCTCACACATGGCCTGAAGGTTATTATAATAATAATAATAATAATAATAATAATAATAATAATAATAATAATAATAATAATAATAATAAACTAATCCTAGCATTTGATATAGTGCCTCATTATGTCGTTGAGACGTCTCAAAGCGCTTCACAGATTATGTTGCAAAGTGAATTGACTGTGTATTCTGTGGGCAAAATGCGGCAGCCAATTACGCACAGCAGCGTCCCACAACCAGTCACGGTTGAGTGGGATTTTTTGGAAGATTATTACCCCCTGAAAGCGATCCTCCAATTGACCAACAACCGGGTTCCTACTTACTGCTTGGTCGATAGAGGCATGTGTTGGGTAAGGAAATTTATTGAAGGTTTCACCCTGCCCGGGAATCAAACCCTGGTCCTCCCGCTTGTGAGGCGAGCGCACTAACCACTACACTATGGGACTCAACAAGGTTTAGAGGCTCCTTGGCTGGAGAGAGTTTGCATTAAATCACGAGCAACAAACATTGCTGGTGGGACTTTATCTGAGAACATCCTCAATAACAGGCCTTGTTGCATTAGGCTGTTTCAGTAACTTCAGTAATGTTCAGGCTGGGGGAGACACTAATCACAAGCCCCCCTACCCCCCNACCACCCCTCCCCACTCTAAAATGCACTACTCCGGGGTCAACCCATGGATGACTGCAACCCAACAAATTGCACATTCATTCCGAAACTCAGGAATTCTCCTGCCCCATTGAGTGGATTCCATTGTGCATTGAGGCTGACGTTCAAAGGTCAGACCTCAGGCCTGTGTTACAGACACAACCGGGAAAGATGGGTTCACAATCTCGGGTGCACAGACGGTAGGGAGGGACAACAACAACAAACAAAGATCTCTCCTCCTTCCCCCCCCTCCCATCCTCCCAATAGCTAGTCGCCGTGCGCAAACGGCAGCCACATCGTCTAACAAAGCACACAGTCACTACACTTTACAGAATATCCAGTGAAGCAGGTTGAGACTTGCCCCTGATGTGAAAGGGGCTATTTCAAATGAAAGGATTACTCTTCCTCTTCACTGTCTGTACTTTTCACAGAAGGGTGTCCGTGGAAACCGCCACATATCACCCTCCCCCACCCCCTCCCCCCCCATTCCCCTACCCTTTTCCTAATACACCTCGAGCCGTTGCCTGCAGGAGAGGAAGTGTAGAGCACTGGAGAAGAGAAAACAATTCTCTTAAGTCTCTTTTTCTGGTGAACGGCCTCTCTCCCAGATGTTTAAGATCGTAAACACAGGGAGAGAAATCTTGTGCCAAGGCTCTGCTGTGTGACGTTGCATAAACCTTCCTAAATGCAGCGCTCACTCCCCAGCATCAACCCGGGCCCTGGTGATGGATACGCTCCATGTTGCTCAGACCTGAGGGGATAAAGCCTCTATTGAAAGCCACGGGCAGAATGGAGCCATTCATCTGAGCCAAGGGGAGGAGGCAATCCAAATACTTCCCACAAACTAGTCTTGGCCGGAGTTTTAAGCACCTTCAGTCAAGGGGCAGGTACCGTGTCTTGAAGCAGAGTCTTCCAGGCAGGGTCTGTAAACGTTCACCTCAACCGGCAATTATAATAATAATAATAATAATTGTATTTGATATGGCCCCTTATCATGTCATTGAGACGTCGCAAAGCGCTTCACACAATATACTGTACGGTGGATTGACTGTATATTTTGTGGATGAAACACGGCAGCCAATTGTGTACAGCAGCGTCCCACAAACAGTCGTGGAATCTTTTTTTTGTAATTCATTGTACTGAAAATAAATATTTTTTATTCAGTAATTATTATCACTGAATTAACCGTCCTCTTCAGGAACTCTGTTGCCCTTTGCTTTCGAGTGCTGACAGCGACACTCAGGAGCCTGGCGTGCCTCTCCACAGCCCCTGGAAGGGTGTGTGTAGACATCGAGTGAGGACATGTTGGTCCTCGCTGGCTGCTCTCATTTTATGAAGAGTGAACCTGGGCCGAGGTGGTCTCTCTCACGCAGGTCAGTAGAGGGGAGAGAGAGAGAGAGAGACAGCTCAGCAAAAAGCCTCAAAGTTATATCCGCCCAGCTATTTTTGAAGAGGTGGGAATGGCATCTCCCCCCAAGTCCCTAGCAGCTGCCTGTGTAAGAGAAGACACAAAAGGAACAGCCAGTTGTAGGGTTTATTTTACACACACGGACACGCACACACATACGCACACACTCACGCACGCAGTAAATGAGGGAGCTTTACACAGAGAGGGAGATCCAGATCATTGACGATTCAAGCAGTGGGCAAACCTCAGCCATAAAACCACCACCACCACCAACAGCAAATTACATTTACGCAGCGGCTTTCACTTCGGGAGGACCTCCCAAGGGGTTTCGACCTGACTGAGATGGGGTCGGTGGGGAGTGTGGGTGGGTGGTGACTCGAAGGCAAAAAAAACGAGAGGAGTGACCGAGCCCAACCAGGCGTCAAAAAAAACAGGCGTCAAAACACAGGGGCTTTGAGGAAGAAAAAGCTAAAAAGTAATTGAAGGAAAATATTGCGAGGGACGGTGTGCGGTAGATTTGGAACGTTTAATTGAAATATTTGCGAGTCGACCATGACAAATATTTGATGGCCCCTTGGTGAATAGGAGTTTCAATTTCAGGCTGTAGGTTTGGGCCGTGATGAAAGGCTTTATTGCCGGCCTCCTGTTACAACTGTGGGCCATGTACTACCCCCCCAGGAGAACCCTCACAATATTTATAGCAATTTGGGAGCTCCGTGTTATGACTAATCTATTTTGGGCTCTTTTTTTAAAAAAAAATGTAATTTTAACTTTTTTTTTGGAAAGTACAAGGAGAAATCAGTCAAGTCATCAAGAGTTGTAGTTTAAGCCAGAGCGGGGCTGGGGTGAATTATGGGCAGAGGAGGCCATAACTTGTACACTGTGTTGGAGTTTTACGCGATCCTCATGGGAAAGTCGGTTATTTTAAACATACTTTTCCCTCTGTTGGCCGCCAATGGGGCTCCCAGGTCAGCTGCAGCTTGGTTTGGATAGAGTAAAGCTCTACACTGTCCAATCTAGCACTCCCAGGTCAGGCCCAGCACGCCATGGCTTAGTACAACAACAGCAGCAACTTGCATTTATATAGCGCCCTTCACGAGGGACAGTATCTCAGAGCGCTTAACAGTGGTGGAGCCCGATGTGGGGGAGGGATTGGGGGAGAAAGATCCAAAGCTTCAGGGCGTAGTGATTGAAAGTGCAGATGCCAATGGTGGGTGGAGGGAATGAAGGACAAGCAAGACTCCAGATACAGAGTGAAGCTCTTTCTACAATGCCCTATGCAGAGTCTAGCTGGTATTTTTTTTCTCCTAACCCAGGGAGAGCTGAGGCCAAATGCAGCCCTTACTGTGGCCCCAACTGAGATCAGTAGCTCAGCACCAACCACAGACTGAACCACACTGGGCAGTGGGAACACCACCTGAGCTGTAGTGTAGGGGGAGTTGCAGTTTGTTGTTGTCATCTCAGGAATGGAATCGTTGCAATGAGGTCGGTTGCATTTCTCAAGGTCCGAGCTAAACATCCCCGTGAGGCCACTGACAGAGAGAAGGAAAGAGAATGCAATGCAGAAGCAGAACATTGACCAGATAAATCTACCTCCTTCGTGACTGCCGTTAGGCAGCAGCTGGGAGGACACTGACTGCAATGTATAACCCAGCACCCCCCCCCCCCCCCCGATTCTTAATAAAGCACCAATGCTCCCTGACCCCGGGGTTTAAGCCGGCCTGAAGATACGTTTGAGTGGGTGAAGCTGGAAACAAATAAAACATTTTTTGGTGAAAGGAGATTAAATCTTGCGCCGGTGTTGTTTCTGTGTGAAAACTGATCTTTATCTGTGTTTCTGAAGTCCAGAGGGAGTCGAGGCAAAGTTGGACACCTGAGCTCAGGTGTGGGTCAGTGGGTCGGCCTGGTCATTCAGACAAAGCCTTGAAGAGAAGGAGCTTTATTTTGACTTTGCTGCTTAAAGCCAGCTTTTGGGGCTTCAGTTACATTGGGAAAGCCCGCTTGTCAAAGCCAGTCTGTTATGCTTTGAGAAATGGAGATTTAAATCCCATCGACTGTTGACTGACAGACCGACAAACCGACAGACATCTAAATTAGGATTTTTTAAACTTAACTCTTCCCCCCGCCCCACTCCCCTCTATCGTCCAGAGTGTTGTATGCACTCCCTTTCGGTGTATGTGTGAACATTAACAACAAATTACATTAAAATATAGGGCTTTTCACCTCGGAAGGACGTCCCAAGGCTCTGGACAGTTAAGGGTTTGCACTCGAGCTGGGGGTTGGAATCAAGAGGATGGAGGGTAGTGTAGAGGGAATGGGGGTGGCCGAAGGCGCAGTCAAAGAGGAAGGTCCTGGGATGGGCCTTGAAGGAGGCGAGGGAGGGGGTGAGGACATCATTTGAACACTACTGGAGGCTATAATGCTCTGACAACCTCCCCACCTTAGACCAGAGAGCAAAGATGAGGGTTTGAACATAAAGAAATTGAGCCACATCCCAGTGTGTGGGAGATTTTTATAGACGCACTAAATCTCAATGCCAAGAACCATTCACTCGCGAGAACCAACATCTTCACAAGACAATAAGAGGGAAAGGAAGAGATCGTTTGTTGTTTTATTGCCTTGTTTGATGTTAGCGACTATCTGATGAGCCAGTGGTGTAAGCTACCCCACCCTGACCTTTTGTCTTGTACAGTGGCAATACTTAAACAGGAAATGTTTATAGAAAGCCCTTATCTTGTTTCTCTAAAGACCTGCATAACTCTTTGGTGACACCTCTCACTTGGTTCGTGTGCTGTTTCAGTATCATTGAGTATCGCAGAGTGTAGAGACCAGATAGCCTTGGCTGGGCTACACCTGAACGCACCTCTGGTGAGATAAGATTCTATCTCCTTGCAGTAAAGATGAGGCAATAAACTGTACCTGTCACTTCACAGCACAGTCTCACTCGGCCTGGCTTATCTCACCTCCTTGCCACTGCACAAAGTCAATACATTTATTGTTTATTTTAAAAAAGATGCCAACTGAAGAGCCCTCTGAGGATTAGAGCTTATTTGCGTGCAGTTGATATTGTACTTTAAATAGCTTTGATCTTAACCGAAGCGCAACTATATGGTATGGTTTATCATTTAGTTATCGATATGGTTCTAACCAGGATTAGACATTGCTGTAGCTAACTTTAAAAATGCTGTGGAACTAAGTCAGTAGATCTTCAAGATCCAAATGTATAGAGCAATTGGCTGCTGCGTTTTGCCCACAAATATACAGTCAATTCACTTTACTGTCTATCCTGTGAAGCGCTTTGAGACGTCTAGAAGACATGAAAAGCGCTATATCAAATGCAAGGATTATTGCTGTCATTATTATTTGCCTCCAAGATGTAACTTGTTGATCCTCGTATGGTCTCTTTGTTCACAAGGTTAATCAATAAAAATCAAGCTGTAATATTCCACAGCTTGTCTCCCCACTGTCTCTCCTCACTGCTCCACCCACAGACAATCCAGAACTTTGCAGCTTGTGTCCTCTCCCGCACAAGGCTCCACGATCCCCGGACCTCAGTCCTCACTCGGCTCCATCGGCTCCCCATTCAAATCTCTCCACGGCCTCACCCCACCTGCGACAACGCCTCTCCTCTGCTCAGCAAACCCCGGCAATAAGTCATGATGATTTATGCAAAGTATGGGTTACGTCAAACTTGCATTAAATACAATGTCTTGAACGGGACTTGGATGGATGTGCGACTTAAGTGATTAGACAATTTATACAGATCTTACTTCTGCATGTTTTAGTGTAATAGTCCTTAAATTTGGTATAGCGCCTTTCACGTTGGGAGATGTCCCAATGCGTTTCACAGTATATAATGGAAAGTGCAACGACTGTGTGATTGTGTGATTAAAAAAAAGAAGGACCGGCTTCCAAAAGGAAGACTCGATTTAAGAATTTTCCAGAGTTTGTTTTGGCAGGTTTGTTTTTTGATGAAATGTTTCTTTACAAAGTAAAAATGTAGTTAGCGCTGGTGGTGTTATGTGGAGTCAGGTTACTAGCCGCGCAGGTAGACGTGAGCAGCTGGTGTAGAATTTGAAGGATGTGTGGATTGTTTCCTGCTTCCACACACCTGCAGGAGGCCAGCAGTGAGGAGGGAGATTAAAAAGGTAAAAGAGGAGAAATATTACTGATGGATCCTAAGGTTGGTATCACACAGATGAACAGTCCTATATTTAGTGTTTTGCCACCCACAAAATACACAGTCGATTCACTTATAATAATAATAATCCTTGCATTTGTATGGTACATTATCACTTCGTCTTTGAGACATCTCAAAGTGCTTCCCAGAATGGACTGTATGTTTTGTGGGAGAACCACGGCAGTCAAATGCGCAGTAGTGTCCCACAAAAGTCATGGATTGAGTGACCAAATTTTTTTTCACTTTACGGTATAATCTGTGAAGCGCTTTGAGATGTCTTGATGACATGATAAGGCGCTGTATCAAGTGCAAGGATTATTATTATTTAACTTGAATCTTTTCCAACAAAGACTAAAGGGATAGGACTCAAGATGATGAAGATGATCTGAAGTGCCGGGCAGTTGAATTTACCTTAGAGGCAGACTTGGATTCAGTTCAAAACACATCCATCACAGAACGTACTATCCCCTCCTCCTGCACGATGTTTATTTTATCTGACGTCTCATTCCCGTGGAAATCTCTTCTTGTTCTTTGGCGAGATGGAAGATGGTGGTCACTGAGTCATTGGGGTCAGTGGAGGATGGGGGGGGTTCGAGACCAAAACATTGGATTCATTTAAGAAACAGCTCGATGCTGTGAGTGATGAGAAGGTGGTAAGTTGGGAATCCTAGAAGGATGAGATCAAACAGCCTGAGTGAAGTGACCACCTGATCACATTCTCCCATCCCAACAACCCACGTAATCTCCCTCTCTCCTTCACTCAAACTTTCTCCCACAAAATACACAGTCACTCCACTTTACAGTATATCTTGTGAAGTACTTTGAGACGTCTCGATGACATGATAAGGTGCTGTATCAAATACAAGGATTATCATTATTATTATTATTATCTATTGTGTTCTCACAAAAAAAACTATTTATGGAGTTCAGAGGCCTTTTCCTATCTTCTTATAATAATCCTTGCATTTGATATTGTGTCTCATCACGCCATCAAAACGTCTCAATGAGCTTCACAAAATATACAGGCACTACACTTTTAAGGCACTATATCAAATGCAAAGATTATTATTAGTATTTTAAATAGTAATAATGTAAAGCGTAGTGACTGCATATTTGTATGGGAACGAGGCAGTCAATTTACGCACAGAAATGTCCCGTGAAGTGATTGAAAAATTGTACCAGGGGCGAGGGAGGAAGTCTTTTTAAGTAGCGTCACGGGATTTTTAACGTCCACCTGAACAGGCAGTTTAATTAACGTCTCATCCGAAAGATTCTTAGAATAAAATTTGAGCTTCAGGCAGTTGTTTCCTTGAGTTAATCATTGGCATTTTTATATGACGTGTTTGCCTCCTTAAAGTTAGCCTGCCTACACTTTAAGAGCGCGGACTGGGGAGTGTAACCCAATGGGAGTGAATAGAAAATAGTTTGGCCCATGGGAATTACAGGGTTGGATCAGGAGTCCATTTATGTGGATTTAATCCACCAATTGAGCTGCATTGTTTGATTTAAGTCTAAGGGTTAATGAAAAAGCCCTCTTTTTTTGTGCCTTGCCCGCGAAAACGACTCAAAACTATTCGGTTCAAAGGCAATGCCTCCAGGGTGGACTGGCCTATCAGCCTACAGAGAAGAGCTCCTTTTTATTCTGTCTGCAAATACAATTTCACACCTCCCCGAATCAAACAGACCCAATTCAGCCCAGTCGTCAGCCACACACAAAAAAAGAGGGAAGAAAAGAGCCCCGAAAATTATTTCAATGATAAACAAAAGCAAATGTTAAAGGACGAGAGAAGGGCCAGAACAAGAGGCTTTCCAGGCAGCACAATAGTCCAGTGTGTGGGGGGCTGTTTTGCAGAAAAAGCATTGTGGGACTGACTATACCCTTTCTCTCTCTCTCTCTCTCTCTGCTTCTCTTTCAGGAGATGAGGAACATGGTGAGACCCCAGCACAGCTCCCAGAGGTAGTTCTTTACTTGCGTTTCAGCTTCGTTCCACTGCACTCGCTGCTTGGAAAGTAGGGGGCGGGGAGGAAGGGGAGTAGGGGGTGTTGGGGTGGGGGGGGTGGTGGATGTTGTGGATTTGAACTGACTGACAGCGCGCAAGAAACATTCTGTCCCAAGCAGCTTAGAAATATTCCCAGCAAAAGCTCGTGTGCACAGAGACACACACACACAAACACATTTTTGCACACATCCACATGCGTGTGTGAACTCACACGCAAACACATTTGTGTGCACTCGAACAAATGCGTACTTGTGCACTGGGAGAAACTCCCTTCTCTTTTCGAATAGCCCTTTGGAGTCCACCTGAACAGTGCAGACCGGACCTCGGTTTAACATCTCAACAACAACAACAACATGGATGTATATAGAGCCCTCCACGCTGGACGGCGTCTCAGAGCGCTTCATCTCATCCAAAGGACATCACCTCCGGCATTGCAATGCTTCCACTGCATTGGATTAGACTGCGACCTTAACCCTTAGAGAGCCAGCCAATATCACACCAGGAAGGGTGGGCATGGGATATCTCTTCCCGCAGCCCAGGGTAACATGAACAGGAACAGTTAAAAGGTGTAATATTGAAGGGCATCATCATTAAAGAGTTTGCATCAATTCTCTTAATAAATCTCTACTTGTTTCCCCACTCTCAAACCCACCCCCCCCACCCCATTTCCTCCACTCGGCGAGTTTCACAGATGATTCGAACTCGAGGCCTTTCCACCTGTTTCATTAACGATCACTTTCTGATCTTGTTTCAAAGAAACCCCCGTGCTTCCTGTTCAGCCCAAACGCTGGATACGACTGATTTCACAGTGACTGCGAGAATCACAACGACTAGCAGCAATGAGCCACATTTCCTCGGGGCCTTTCGTGGACGGTGCGAGCCTGGTTCCGCTGTGGTTCAGCACGCTCTGCTCTAAATCAGAACCCACTTGGAGGCTCCGAGGCACAAAGGCCTCAGTTTCAGCAATGACACTCCAATGCGGTTCTGGGGAGGAACGCTGCATTGTCAGAGGTGCCGTCGTCCTTCGGGTGAAACATTACACCAAGGTTCCTTATCTTTTCAAACAGTGAACAGGCACGGTGGGGGGCGGGGAGGAGAGACCTTGGTTCGATGTCTCTTCGGAAGAAGCCACACACCTCTTACAACGCAGTGCGCCGCCCGGCACTGCTTTGAAGTGTCAGCCTGGGCTGTGAGCTCAAGCTCGAAGAATGTTTTTCACCCACAAAATACACAGTCAATTCACTTTACGGTATATTTTGTGAAGCGCTTCGAGACGTCTCAACGACATGATATCAAAATGCATTGATTACTATTATCATTCTAAGCAGAGCAGAGATAAAAGCACAAAGCAGCGAGCAGGCTACGGACTGACAACCAGCGCTATTCCCTGCCGCGTCGGGCCGCGGCATTGAAAGGGTTAAATAGCATTGCTGACCGGGCGGGTAACCACTGACTATTCTATTTGGTTCACAACATCTGTGGACTTTACAGCTTTTAGCAGATGGTAGCTGGAAGTTGAAAGAGACATTATCCCTTTTGTTTGAGCTACACTGGCTGTTTGTTCCCAACTCATAAAAAACAATTCTCTCTGACACCCTCTCTCCACCTCGACCCATTCAAACCCGCGGGAAAGAGAAGGCTTTTCGTTCATTCTCCGAGTCCTTTAGAGTGTTCATTGTATCAAAAATCACGGAATTAATCCAAAATCACTTTTTACAGATAGTCAGATTTTCATAAAAAGAAAATGTTACTCTTAAATTGAATTCAGTTGCTCGACTTTTGGTTTCAGAAGTGTAGTTGAATTAAAAAAAAACTACCTAGAAACAGCCTAGAGACTAGAGGGGGAGAGGAGAACAGAACAAGAAGCCAATGTCAATGAGCAACCCAGCTTGCAACCCCCAACCCCCACCCACCCACTGAGCAGGGATTGTATATTACACCACCGATGGTTATAGATAAGCAGGAATGAGGGTACTAGTGGTCTTCTCTCTCTTTCTATATTCTCCCACTCGCTAGGCTGACCACTGTAGGTCTGATTATAATTATTTTTAATAATCCTTGCATTTTGATGTAGTGCAATATCATACCAGCGAAAGCCTCACCCCCTCCCTTGCCTCCTTCAAGTCCATCCATTTCAACCGCGCCTTCAGTTATCCCCCCCCCCCCCCCGCACCCCCTTCCACCCACAAACAGTCGTGGATTGAAGTGACCAATTTATTAGGGAGATAGGGAGAGTTGCCACTGGAAGAATGATCAAAAGCAGTCTGGCTATTTCCCCCTTTCACGCCAAGATGTGATTTTAATGGGGTGGGGAGTAATGAAGACACGTAGAGCAGCGTGTGTGGAGATTTCAGAGCAATTTCTGTATTTTCAGGCAACTAAGAAAAGCCCTGCTATCTGTTAAATTTGCATTGTTGCGGGCGCGTGTGTGTGTGTGTGTATTCACCAGCGCCGGGGAAGCAAACAAAGTGAAACACAAACGATTCTTAAAAGTTTCTTAAAGATTTGCTGAGGAAAATCAATTCATTCAAACAGGGACCGGTGTGTTTAGGTGTTTAAAACAAATAGCAAAAAGCACGGTCTGGGATTACAGTGTTATTTGTCTATGATGTGGTAAGAATCCTGCTACATTTCATCCCCTCCTTAGCAATTTAATCAACACCTTTTGAGAACAGTGTTTTATGGGAAAATGTTAGTTAAATGTGTATTACATTATCTAGACAAACTTTACACCTCATTACGTTTGATAGCGCTGCCCCAAACTTCACCTCTAACCCAACAACCCTCTTGTCTGATGTTGGTCACTGATAAGAAGGGTTTGTAGATTATGTACTTGTAAATACTCGTCAGTAGAACTGATTGCACCCAGTGGGATCTCAGTAATAGGCAAAGGGAGGCGGGGTATGGACTCAACAGCTCCCACATCTGGCCTAGATCCACCCCTTAACCCTCCTCCACCCCAGACACCTCTGATTTGCTCCTCAACGCTTAAAGGGACACGGAAAAAGGCCACTGCTATTTTGCAACCACCACAAAAGTTTTCATACACGTTTCAATAATAATCCTTACATTTGATTTTTTTTGGGGGGCGGGGGAGGTCAGATGGGCACCTGACACATGCGGGAACCCATCACAGTGCTGAAGAGTATCCAAACCAAGCTGCGATTTGCACACACGCCTACACATGGAAATCCCATTTGATACAACGCCTCATCACGTGCTTGAGACGTCTCAAAGTGCTTCACAGAATACACCGCAAAGCGGATTGACTGTGTATTTTGTGGGCGAAACACGGCAGACGATTTGCCCACAGCAGTGTCCCACAAACTAAGATGTGGTTTGAGTGTGACCAAATTTTTTTTCGTTTGTATTGTCTCGAACAGAAAACAAACACGCTTTGGCAGCAAATCATCACAAACTTTCTGTACTGCAAGTCAAAAAAGTCCTTTTTTCTTTCTTTGATTCTCTTCTGTCGGGCACATGCAAAACCTGATGGATTGGGAAATAAATTAAGTTGTTATCAAAATGGGGATATGAGTATTTTTAAAAAATTATTATTGATTTAATCCTGGGTTTGTGGGGGGAGGAGAGGGGATTGATTTGTTTTGTTCACGTACAGTTGTTGGGTTCGATTGTACAATGCTCTTAACATTTAATTTTTTTGAAACAAAATTTAGATATTTTGCACATTCTCACTAAAATTTTGCATCGATAAATTTGCCATTTGGAAGGAGGTGAGGTAAGCCTCCCAAGTGTTTTACTTAAAATGGCAATCAATACTAGCTCAAGGGGGGGGGGGGGGGGGGCGCGAGACTACAATGATTATTTTTATATATCATTTTTCTTTTAAAAGAAGTGGGATTGTTTTCCAATCCCATAGAAACAATTGGGTGCAACTTCTCCTTTAATGGTGAGAGTTTTGGTGGGGTTGTGAATGGTCAGGCTGGATGTCATTCAGGATGGGCTGTTCCCAAAAATCTTTTGAGCGACAGGTTGAGACTCAAATTCCTTAACTTTTCCTTCTCAGAGCAAACCTCCTCCACTTTGCTGAGCAGTCGACAAACTCAATCGGCGCTGGATGGATTGGCATGGGGAAAGGAGGATTTTACCCTTTGGCTAAAAAGCTCTGGTCATCTGCCTTGCTGATCTTTTTCTCCATGTGTCTGAGTTCAGGTAATAATAATAATAATAATAATAATAATCCTTGCATTTGATATAGCGCTTTTCACGTCGTGAGAAGAACAAGTCAAACATTTTTTTTGCGTGTGTGTGTGGGTCCTGCAAACTTTTTAGCCATTTAGAGTGAGAAGTTGGGAAGGAGAAGAAGAAAGAAATGCTGTTGCCTCTGTTGTGTGTGTGTGTGTGTGTGTAAGAAAAAAAGCACATCAACTTTTCCAGGCGAATAATTATGTGTTTGTTTGGAAAGAAAACTTAAGTTATTCACCCTTACTCAAGAGAGTGCAGCGAGAAAGAGAGAGGGAGAGGGAGGTAGTTAACTTGTTTGGTAGTTTGCAACGTGTTTTCAAGAAGTTAGTTAGACAAGTCTGTGTGTTTGTTTGCAAACCAAGAATTGGGTCTAACGTTGTTTTCTTCTCTTTCTCTCCTCCCCAAACACACACACACACACACACATCCTCTCTTTTTCTCTCTCTCTCCCTCTCCAAAACACACACACACACATTCTCTATCCTTTCCTTTGGTTCCCCCCTCAAAACACACACACACACTTTCCCTCTCTTTGGATTCACCCTCCAAACACACCCACATAAAAACATTCTCTCTCTCTTCCTTTGGATCTCCCCCCTCCACCCCAAAAACACACACACACACATATACACTCATTCTCTCTTTCTCTCTCCCTCCATTTCAATGTTTTCTTCTGTCTTTCCCTTCCTCCTCAAACACACACTTCTACCCCCAACACCTCTCTCTGTCTCTCTCTTTCTCTCCCTTTGGTTTGATGGTGGTGGTGGAAAAAACACGCACACACACATTGTTTGGCCAGTGCATTGCCAACAGTGCAGGATCGAGAGATGTAACGCGGAATTCGTGGCTGCCACAACTCCTAGGAACGGGTTGCAGGAGGACCTGGACGGAATCGGTGGTGGAGGAGGAGGAGGTGGTGGAGGGGCTGATTTCTGCATCGCCCTGCGATCTTACTACCAATGTACCAAGAAGACAGCCAAGTCCTGCCGTGGAGACCTGGTGTATCACTCTGCCGTGTTGGGCATCAATGATCTCATGGCCCAACAGAACTGCTCCAAAACAGGACCCACTGCCCCAGCCAAGCCCCCAGCTGGTACTGAGAAGAGCAGGGTGTCTGACTTCTGTAACTACGAGAGTAGGATGAAGTTTGTGAGAGGTGGGAGTGGGCAACAACAACAACAACAACAACAGCAGCAGCAACAAGTCCCCAAGTTTGCCCACTGCGGGCTGTTTGGAGACCCCCATCTCAGGACGTTTCGCAACGAGTTTCAGACGTGCAAAGTGGAAGGAGCCTGGCCCCTGATCGACAGCAATGTCCTCTCTGTCCAAGTCACCAACGTGCCTGTTGTGCAAGGGTCAAGCGCCACCGCCACCAGCAAGGTACCCAACTCCTCCAAACAATTTCACCCCCAAAGTCATCCCAAAAGTTTTTCAATCTTCTCTTTCTCGGTCTCTTTCACTCTCTAACTTCCCCCTCCCCCCCCACCCCACTCCCCCCCCCCTTTCTCTTCCCCCAATTTTTCTTTTCCAAAATACTTTTTTGGGGGGCTAGTGGGGGGAGATATAGAAACTAGCTTCGTCTCACAGGAGCCAACGAATTGCTAGTGCCCTCTGCTGAGATAGTTTGGGATTTAGAAAAACAACACCCCCTACACTCTTCCTCCCCACCCCCCCCTCCCTCCCTTTGCCTCTTGCTGTTAGCACACAGCAGGACTTGCTTACACAGAGAGAGAGAGAGAGAGAAAGAGAGGGTTTAGACAAAAGTTTCTAACCAGAGACTTTTATAAAAAAGCTGGTTTAAATGCACACACACAGAGATAGATCTCTGGTCTGAGCAACTATTCCTTAAACCTCCCCCTCCCCACCAACCCCTTCCCCTTTTCACAGGCAGAAATGGTGTATTAGGTTCCCAATTCAAGTCTTGCTTTTTTTTGAGGGGTGGGGGGCAGATCAATTGTTTGGAAAATCAATCTGAATTGTGATGATTTAATCCCAAAACACACACACACACACACTCTCTTTGAACTATTTCTTAAGCAGAGCCTTGTTTACACTGATTATTTCAGAGATGGCTTGGAAATCCTATCAACTATACCAGTTTATAGTTTACTGCAGTGAGCTGTGTGTTGTTTTATTTTTTTCCCCTTGTTTTTTTTAAAAAAAGAAATTCAGATTTAACACTGATTTATCTTTTTTTCCCCAAAAAAATATATATCTGGCTCCTAACTTCACACAAAAAAAACTTCACAACAATTGCAGGCAGTTCACTTTCATTCCCTCACACCCACCCACTCTCCTTTCATCAGTTCCATTTGAGTCCCAAGTCAGAGGGGGGGGAAAAAAATGGTCAGTGCAATTCATTGAACTTTCTAACAAAAGAAAACGAGCTGAACTTTTAAATTTGTGATTTTCTTTTTCAAAAAATCTTTCTGATGAATTTTAAAAGTGTTGTCAAAAAAAAATTTAATCTCATTTTTAAGGGTGTGAGTCTTGCAAATTGTTCTAAATAACTGGATGGTTGGGGTGGGAGGAAGAGAGAGAGAGAGAGAGAGTAAAGCCAGGGAACTATCAGTTTTAACCCTCAACTCTTTTTTTAATTAATTTATTTATTTACAATATTTCTGTTTTCACATAACCCCAAAAAATAGCCTGACCCCCCCCAAAAAAGTCTCCACCAGTCTGTGTTGAGTGATGCATTCAATTGTTTCAAGAAAGAGAGAGAGAGAGAGAGAGAATAGATTAGAAACGCTTTGTAAATCATCCAGAGAGAGAAAGAAAGGGGGGGGGGCAGAAGAAAGAGAGAGCAGTGAAGTTTACAACAGACTTTCTGTGTTGAATGGGGCCAGAGCTGTGAAAAGAGGAATGTTTTATTGCAAAGCAGGACAGTCATTGGGTGTAGAGATTTAAAGGGAGTCAGTCTGATGCATTTAATGAGCTTTGGATTTTATGTGTTTGTAAGTTAATAGCCTGTTTGTGGTGCAATGCTGATGGTAGGTTAAAAACTGGGGCAAAAAGTTTCAGAATTCATTAATAATAATAATAATAATCCTTGCATTTGATATAGCGCTTTTCACGTCGGGAGGACGTCCCAAAGCGCTTCACGGAACACACTGTAAAGTGAATTGACTGTATATTTGTGGGCGAAGGCGGCAGCCAATTGCGCGCAGCGATGTCCCATTGAAAATGACCCAATTATTTTATGATTGTTTTCGGTTTTGGAGGGATCATTAATGTGTTAACGTGGTCTCTTTCTCTGCTCAGGAAGTTGTGACTGGAGAGTGTGTGTAGTTTATACTATACTGGAGGCCAAGCTCCCATTATGCTATCTCCTCCTTATCACAATGATGTGCTAGAGAGAGGCTGATAAGCAAGAATCTCTGGCTCTCTCTATCTGCTGAGCCTTGGAGGCATTTTCACACTTAGCTCCCCCACTCGCTGCTGTTTTTAGGGCAGCGTGGTTTAACCCTTTGAGTCAAGTTCTTGTCATTTATTTCCAGCCTGGCTTGGTGGGTTTCTCACTTTACCGCACTCACTAACCAGCCAGCCTCCTGTCTTCCTGTTGCGTTTCCATATAAAAAAAGCATTTTGAAAGTTGATGGGAGGGAGGAAGGTACAAGCAAGCTATTGTTTCCTGGGGCTTGTTTCCAGAATATAGCACTAATAATCCTTCCATTCGATATAGCACCTTATCACGTCGTTGAGATGTCTCAAAGCGATTCACTGAATGCACTGTAAAGAGGAGTGGTTGTATATTTTGTGGGCCACACGCAGTAGGCAGTTTAATTTAGAGCTTCGCCGGTTGTCCCTTGCTCTGTACCCAATTTGCATCTCATTCCCAATATTTGCATGTTATTTGCAATTTCCGGATAAGGCTTACAAGCGAGGGATGCTACATAAATGCAAGTTGTTGTTGTAGCCTATTGCGACACACACACACATACATACACTGGGGAGGGGGTGGGGGGGGGGAGGGGGAGGACAAAATTGCTCTGTTTCCAGCAAATTGTCCCTTTGGCTGATCCCTGCATACTTCAAAGTCACACTTAGCACATCAAAGGCTTGTGCGAGTGTCGCAGATTAGCCTTTGATGTTGTAACGCTGCGCTACAGAGTTTCTAATCATAATATTATTATTATTAGACACTGTAGCAAAAAAGAAAAAAATACACTCTGAAGCAGAAAGCAAATCGAGTGTCTACTGAGGACGTTTGGGGGCGAGGGGGTGAGGAAGGACAATGAGAGATCTCCTCACTTCCATTTCAGGAAAAGAAAGCTTCACTGTCAATGGAGAGAAAAGGGGAATCTGGAGCAGTCATGTATGCCCCTCCTCACCCCACCCCACCCCACCCAGACCCCCACATCAGCTTCTGGGTCCTAAACGCACCCGATCTGCATTCGACGGTACTTGAACGCAGAACTTACAAACACTTTTGCAGCATCCACATACACATCATGTCTGCCCGTTACTTGTCTTGTTTTGCTGTACACTGGGCGTCCCCATCAGGCTCCTGCCAGCACTAGGAAGGTGACTTGGTCGCTATTCATCCAACAATAAAAGCAACAACTTGCATTTATATAGCGCTCCTCATGCAGGGCAGTGACCCAGACCACCAGGAAGATTAACTGGAACCTCTTTTCCCCCATCATTTTGACACTGTTGCTCCAAATGGATCGCATTTCTCATAAACACCAGTCCCAATGGGGCTGACGTTTATGTGGAAAGTTGATCCATTTGGAACAACACTCCACAGTCTGGCTTGAGGCTTGCTGTTCATACGTTAGGAAATGTGCAAGACTGGTGGAGGGAGGGTGGCAGGGGTTAGAAGACCAGTGGGGGGGGGGGGGGTCATTACAAAGTTAAAAAAAAAGTATATAATGGTTTCCCTCTTGCTCTTGTACACTTCACTTATTCTGTACGTGTGTGTGTGGGGGTGTGTTACTCTACCTCTCTTATGGCCCTCCATCATTTCTTTAACCAAATATCTATTTATCTCGCTCTTGAATTTGCTTCCGTGGTATCACAGTCTGTTATATTCACGGTTCATTGTCCAAACACACAAATCTAAGCTCTTCAGGTGAAGCTCCCTTCAACCAGTTTTCTCGCATCTTATCCTTCCAGAACACTCATAGCAATTGCTAGACGAAAAAAGATCAAGGTCCATCTAGTTCGCCTTCTACCATCCTGGTAGTCATATGCTACAATAGTGGAGGTGTTGAAAACAATTAATTCTGTATGGATTAGTCCACAAAGGGGTTACAGTACAGAGTGCTGACATTGTCATTATCCAACATAGCAGCTTGCATTTATATAGCGGACTTCATGTAGGATAATATATAGGACCACTTGACACACAGGAACATTTAAAATGTGTCTTAATGGTTGACTTAGTGGCTTGTTTGCTTTGTTCCTTAAAGTTCAAAACAAATACTGTTACAAAACAATATTTTCACAAACTATTTTCTTAACCAATTTCCCTTTAAATTACAATGTTACACTAAACCTACAGAACTCACTGGGTTAATGGGATACATTTTGACTTTATTTTTTTTGACAATTTTGGGAGGCTTCCTTGCATCATGTGCAAGTGACGGAGAAAGTCAGATTTAATGCAAAATTAGGGTCAGGGTCGAGCTTTGCTCCTGATCTATTGAGTGTTGGGACGGCTTATTGGTAGAAATGTATATTTGAATGATCCAACATTCAGTATCTGACCACAGAGTGTTAAATCTGTACCAGGTGCTGGTTCCTGGTGTGGATGAGACCTCTGGAGTCCAATTGTATGCAACATTATTCCACATAATTGCTGAGTCCAGGAGTTCATGATCAGGGAATGGAAGGAGCTCAGTCACTGAGGTGACACGGCCTTAGTGTTTGGGGTACCATTTCCTTCTGTAAAGCAGGGATTTGAGTGGGGGTTCAATAAACAACAACAAATTACATTTGCATAGCGCCTTTCAGGTCAGGAGGATGTCCCAAGGCGCTGGACGAAAACCCATCAAAAGTAGAGTTGAAATGATGTTGGATGGAGGGTCAATGGGACCTGCGCTGGAGGGAGTAAAGACTCGATGAGGGATAATCTTAATCATATTCTGCCCACCACCCTTTGGAACTTGAGGGCACTGATTTTAAGAAAGTGGACACAGGGAGTGAATTAGGAGATTTTTGGTTTACACCCAAAGTTGTTAAGTATGTAGAATGCTTTGTTGGGTGTGTTGGTTGAGCTTTCAAGAGGGAACTGGATAGATATTTAGAGAAAAATAATAAGGGGACGAGGGGGAGGAGAAATGTTAGGTAAATGGGACTGAAAGGGCCTTTCAAAGAGCCATCACAGCGCACATACGATGGGCCAAAAGGCCTTCTTCTGTACTGTAAATTGCTGTGGTTCTAAATCAACAGTAAACCTCACGTAAAATGCAGCTTGTGAAACACACGGCAGTTAGTGCTTCCGAAGCTGCAGAGAAGCAGGCGAAACGGGGGCAAAAAAACTGATCTGGCAATTCTGTGCTGGTGGAAATGAGTCAGCAATGAGTCAGGAAACACTAGCGATCTGTGGGTCACACCCAGACCTTATCTCTTCCAGATGTTGATTGAGTAGCTGTGCAGTCTTGACTTTTTTTTGAGAGGCGGTTATTTAATGCTTGTAATGTAAACTTGGGATTCTTGTAGTGAGGAAATCATTGGGAAGTGGTTTGGTTCACGGGCGTTGGGAGGGGTGTGTGTGTGTGTTTATGAACCTCTTGCACTTCTATTCAACACTCCCCATAAACCAAGATACTGGTACAGTCAAATCCGAATTCTATAGAGATAAATCAGGGATTGTTGGGAGCAGAATGTTAGGAATTGCGCTCATACTAACCCTTCGCTGAGGTGGGTGGGGAGAGAGTCAAACTGAAGAATTTTCCAGTTGTTTTTCCTCACTTGCTTCCTTCAAGTCTTGTCTCAAGATTTTCCTCTTCAACCGTGCCGTTGATCACCCTCCTACCCCCTACCCTCCCCGCCCTCCACCCCTCCTGATCCCAACCCCCTGCTCAGGTGCACATCCTTGACTATCCAGAGCCTTGGGACGTCCTCCCGACGTGAAAGGCGCGGTGTAAATGCAAGTTGTTGTTGTGTATGAGCTTAAAATGGTGTTGGAAGCTAAGAATAGGTGGAATGTTAGAGCCTGCGGAGCAGCACAAAATGGGGTGCAGATAATTGTCAGAGTGGGCTGACGCAAAACGATTGTCCTTTTTCCCCCCCCCACCACCCCGCAGGTGACGATCATATTCAAGAGTTTCCGCGGCTGCACGGAGCAGAAGGTGTACCAGGCGGTGACGGGCGACCTGCCCTCTGCCTTTGTGGACGGCACGAAGCACAGCGGCAAGCGGGACGGGGAGAGCAGCCTGCGGATCCTGGAGAAGGCGGGGGGCTCCCAGGTGGAGATTCAGGCCCGTTACATCGGGACCACCGTCATCGTGCGGCAGGTGGGCAAGTACCTGACCTTCGCCATCCGCGTGCCCGAAGAGACCCTCAGCTCGGCCGACGAGAACTGGGCGCTGCAGCTGTGCGTGCACGGCTGCCCGCGGAGCGAGCTGATCCGCGAGCACACCCTGCCCGGCCACCTCTCGACCCCCAGGCACCAGGGGGCGCTGCGGGCCTACACCGTGGAGACAGCCACGGCCAAGTGCAGAGAGACCCTGCAGGTCGAGGACGTCTACTTCCACTCCTGCGTCTTCGACCTGCTCACCACCGGGGACCCAGCCTTCTCCATGGCCGCCCACGGGGCTTTAGAGGACCTCAAAGCGTTGCACCTGAACCTCCTGAAGCTGCAGAGCGCCCCCCAGACGGGCGAGGGCAATGGAGGGCCCCCGTCCCAGCCCCGCATCCATCCCCTTTACGTGGCTCTCATGATCCTTTGCGCCACGCTCCTCATGCAGTGAATGTGTATGTGTATACCCGCAGAACCCAAATTGTCTATATAATAATATATTGAGACGTGTACATATGTGTAAAGGTGCCTGTACATATAGTGTGTTGAGTGTTGCCATTAGCAACGGTTGCGTGCGTGCGTGCGAGAGTGCATGTGAGAGCGTGTTCCTGTGTACTCCTGTAAAGCAAAACACCCTTAATTTTCGGGATGTGGTAATGAGGGGGGAGTCTGGTCTGTGACTTTCCCTTTTATTAAAAAAAAATGCCTCCTGCCATAAATCACTGTCCCGCCATCTTCATTTAAAAGCTCATTGGGGGGTTGGGGGTGGGGGGGAATTGCTCAGTGCTGTGATGGGGTGGGTACGTGTGAGATTTTGTTTGGTGTCTTGACACATGTGGAAACCCATCGCCATGCTTAAGAATATACAATCCAAACGGCGTTCCATGCATCCCAACTATGCATGGAAATTCCTGAGATATTTATTGGATTCTATTTGTTATGAGTTGCCCTGGGACTTAGGGTGAGATCCAAAGGGCCAAAGGGCCTTCTTCATCCAAACCGATCTTACGATCTAATGCCCCAGTGACTCTGTGCTGCATTTGACGATTATAATTCTGACCTTACTCAGAGCATTGAATGTCTGTAAATGTCTTATGTGGAAGGTGGTTTCTCAGTGCAATTATTTTTCCATACCTGCCACATTGCACCGTGAATTTGTGCTTTGGATAGGTGTTGTGTTTTGCTGTCCCACATTTGTGTCCCAATTATTGCCTTTTCAGCCAGAGAGAGTGACTGCTGCCTTGGTTCCCCCGAATGTCCATTCTCCAGTTTTTAGCACCCCCACTGGGCACCCCCTCCGCACCAACGCCCCCTTTGCATTTCCTGCCTAAAATGTCCTGCGCTCTGCTGAGGGAGATTACCAACTTTTTATGGGCTGCGAAATCAAACGCACCGGAAACCAAGTTGAAATGCCCAATACGTCAACGCAGGAGCCTTGTACTGACAGTCGTGTCTCACTGCAGTGTGTGTGCGTGTGCTTCTGTACTCTCACCATTTCCAGAGCCGTTAGATTGAGGACGTTGAAGCCCAATTGAATTCGCACACCCAATGCCCAACGTAACCAGCTGTGAGTACACGTAGCTGCGGTACCGTGTATTTCCTGCAGGCAGTGCTGCTGAGCTAGTTAACGAAACGTCTCAACAGCGACACTTGTAGACACACTGCGGCACTGCGGCTTCAACCGGTGACAGACTCTTACCCGGTTTGTTTATTCCCCACGATTGGAGTAAAACGCCACTGGGGTCCAGATTTACTCCGTTAACGCAGCATTTCAGGCTGTCAAATTGCTCGAAAGCACTTTTGGTTCACAAAAGGTTCCGCAAAGGAATTTACAGGACGGGCCGGGCCGCAAAATTAAAGGTCGCATTTAGGAATTTGACATTCTGGAATGCTCTGAAATGTTACCTTAATGGAGTAAATCTAGACCAGCTGGAATATTCCTTCGATGATTCCACTATCCAGCAGTTAATCGTTCACAGCCCTGGAACTAATGCATCATGCGGACTGAACACACTCCCAACCATTTTGCAGCCTGACTTGCTCTTTCTGCACTCAGCGAAGAGACAAAGCATGTGGGTGGGGTAGACAGGAGATTAAATGAAATAAACTGGGCTTTAAATAGGCTGGAGAGTGTTAAAGGATGGGAAGTTGTGGGAGGGTGAATTGCAGTCTCAGATTTCATTGGCGTGATTAAGTTTCTTGCTAATTTCTCATCTCAACTCTGGAAATCTCAGAATTAATGGCTGATTTTTTTTCCCCCTCTCGCTCTAAATTTTTTACATCTAACCTATGTTGTAGCTATTCTTGGGCTCTCGATGTTAACACCCAGCGGGGAGCATGAGTTCGAACCTGCTCCATCACGTACGCTGATATCCTGAGGGGATTGGAAAGAGAGCTAAAGGGGTGGGGGAGAAGAGGAGAGACTAAATCACATCAAATTTTAAGGCATCGCTTATCTCCTCCACCAGAGTCCAGGCTGCTATTAAATGCTGGGACTGAAGGAGGGAGAAGGAGGTGTGGGAGGCAGCGAAGAGCGTCCGTTCACGGGTGGCGCTGAGCTGCCTTTTGCGGCTCTTAATAAGAATAATTAAAAACCTTAATTATGGTATTGAGACCAATTCGCTGCAGCGAAGGGCTGTTTAACTGTTTACGCTCATTACGACAAAGAAGGAGAGGGAATGGAGCAAAATCGCTGGCCTTTGCTTCACTCCATTTAAAAAATATAATTACCCCCGTTATTTAAATGTCTTTTAATGTAGGATACAGTATCTCTTGTCAGCCTGAGTGAATAGGGCATCAGTTTACTTATGTTTTCAAAACGTATCTGTCATGAATAGGTAGCACACAATAACACGTTATTCAAAGAATGCAAATATATATATAAAAAAAACCTGTACTACAGTCCAAGGAGTACAAATTAAATAAAGTTCTTCCGCAACGTAAACCGTACAATAAATATATAAATTATAAATAAGTCGGAGTATGTACAGAGATACCTGGAACATCGAGAGTTTCAGCGTGAGCTAGTTACTCGTGGAGCGAGGCAGGATCTGGAACAATCCGGGAAGGGGAGGGGGAGGGGAGGGCGGGAGTGGGAGGGGGAAAACCACCTGCAAACACTCGATCCCGCTTCTAAATTGTAAACATTAAAAATCGCAGGTTTCCACCAAGTTACTTTTTCAGCATCTACCGAAAGGTACTGGTCGGAATCTCGGATGTAACGGGTTGCCGGTAAGATACCAACGGCTGACTTAAATAGAACGGGGGTGCGGGAAGGGGGGGGAAGAGAGCAAACTGGGGCAACTTTGAGTTAGCAAGTGCCCGTCACCTCCAGACCTGGGTTCGAATGGTGACCAGACTCGTTGAGTTGCAGGGTGTTAAGGGGTAAAACAGGATAACTGCGCTGCCCGCAAATGGGCCAAAAAGGGGGCGGTTTAGAATAATGACTTCTTTACATAGAGGATGAGGAAGGAAGAAAAATATCGTCACCTTTCATCCGAAATAGAAATTTTCCAACACACAGACCACAATGCGACATTCCAAAGCAACACGTTGCCACGGAACCCCTCAATCCCAATTCAATACAATTCACATTTCCATACTGTAGCACCTTTCACATCGAGAGGACGTCTTAAAGCGCTTCACACAGTTGGCTGGACACCCAAGCTTGTGTGTGTGCGTGTGTGTGTGTGTGAGAGACTCAAAGCGTGGTCAAAGAGGTTAGTCTTGAGGCGGGCTTTGAAAGCGGGGAGGGAGGGAGCAAATCAGTCGGAGAGACTCTGGGATGGAGTTCCAGAGATCGGGGCAGCAATAACTGAAAGCTCGCCCACTGATGGTGGGACAGACACCCTCCCCCTTCCCAGTGATGATGTGATGTGCACATTCCCTCCCACCTGTGTTGACAGGCTCACAATCTGGAGGAATAACCAGTAGCTGGCAGTCAATTACAAGCTGTGATCCAATTGTAGGGTTAAGGTGAGAGCTGAGCCCACACTTGATGCTGTCAGATGAGCTCCTGAATTGGATTACCGGCGTGTAATTCCCTCAGAGCAATCTGTTCATAACGTGCAGAAAGCTGAAAATGTCCTCGTAATTCTCTAAGGAGCCCAAGTCAATCCAAGCTTTGAATCCCCCTCTGAAACCATTGCCTATAAACCACACAGTCATTGCGTTTCACTGTCACGTCCTGTCAAGCGCATTGAGACGTCTCAACGACGTGATCAGGTGCTGTATAAAAATGCGAGGGTTATTTAATCATTAATCTTTTTTTTAACCTGGGGAAGCTCACACACTCCTGGCCAAGACGCAAGAACAGGCTCCGTGTTTTGATCTCGTCCCACCTCCACCATTTCTTTCCCTTCGCAGACTCTAATCTTTCTCTATTGCTGATAGTTTTGTGCTCATTGCTCTTCCAAACCTTCCCGTCTCTCTCCCTCATCCAACATTCTCCACACCTTCCCTCCTCCCCACAGCCTCAGCATTGAGATTAAAACTCATCACGTAGGCTTCCCTTTTGACTTGGTTCTTTCCCATAAAACTGTGGAACTCCCTCCCATCCCCACGCTCACAGATGAATTTGAGCGAGGTCGGGGGTGAGATTGGTGTCCGAGCAAAATTCGGGAGCATGGGATGCAATTTGCCCAGGATTGGGAATCTCAGCCCCTGCATCTCTTCCTCTGCTAAGCTTAGCAGATATGTTGCTGTGTGTCTGTAATGATGTTTTAGATATATAACGTCATTTTTTTTTGCTGACTGTTATTCCAAGGGTTGTTTGTTAGCAGGTAGTTGCCTAATCTTTTTTTTNAAACTCGGTGAGAGCAAATCTCTCGAATCCCAGATCTGAGAGGTGAAAAGTCACTGTTGCCCATCCAACCATCAATCGCATTTGAAGGTTGTAAATTCAACGTCTTAAGCTTTACAACACAAAAGGGGGTCGATAGACAATACGGGCGATTAGATCGATCTAAGATTTACCCTGTGATATTGTCAAACAAAACTATGCTAAAGTGATTCCCCCCCCTCTCTACACTTAATATTCTACAGCTTTCAAACCATGCACCAAGGCTTTCCTGCCCCCCCAATTTTTTTAAAAAAAGAACAAATGTAAATCAGAAAAAAAATAAGTAAGAATTTCAGGTCTGCCGTCACTCGAACATGAGAAATCTTTTGCACTGACTCGACGAGAGCAAGTCCGTTCGGAAAACAAAACAAGGGAGCAAAGACGTGGGTCATCTAATCCCCATCACTTATCGCTTTCATGCGGCAAACCATGCCCCCCCCCACCTCCCACCCCCTCCGTCTCACAAAAGTACCACAACGTCCGAAAGCATCATCGAGGAATTTTTCTTTTTAAAACTAACTCCATATAAATTTCTACTATATTACTTTTTAAATGAGATTTACGAATTTTTCCCTCTCTGGTATATGACCTACAGCAATACATTGTTTAGCTTTTTCTCCCCCCACCCACCCTCCCACCCCCCCCGCGCCCCCCCCCCCCCCCCACCCAACCGTACTCTATCAACATATTAAACACGTGAATTTATGCTACATACAGGCCCCTTGATGTTTTTTTTTTAAAAAAATCGAATTTGGTCCTTTGGTCCCTAGAACGCAAGGAGGATGGAGAGCGTGTTGCCGTGCCAACCGTACGGTATCGCACAAAACCATGGCAACTGTCGCCTAGGAGACCGAGTCGGGTGCTTGGCAGCACAAACCGGTGTCAAAACAGCTTTGTCTTTGATGCTCGTCACAGGCCCATCCTTTCAGTTTCTTCATCACTACCATTTTCCGTCTCTCTCTCTCTCTCTCTCTCTTCTCTTTCTGTACAGTCGCGTCTCTCCCCCCACCTCCCTCCCTCCCCCCCACCCCCCCCCCCCCCTCTCTCTCTCTCTCTCTTTCTCCAGTGCCACAATCCACATTTTCACATTTCCAGAGACTCCTTCAAATGTCCTCTTTTGACGCGTGTGGGTTTCAGCAATATAACCCCCCTCCCCCATTCCCCTCCCCCCACCCCCCACTCACAACCAGTCGCTCCAGACTACTTCCTCCCATTCTGCACATTCCCAGCCCTGTGAAAGAAAGGAAAGAGAGGAGAGGAGAGGAAGGCACATGGTCAGTGAACAGGACTAAGAGGCTTTGTTTGCAGTGAGATTTGCCCAGAGGAGCATATTTTGGTACAACACACACACACACACGCACACACAGCCCTCTCTTTCACACTCTTTAAGCCCAACATTCGCAGTCTAAACACCCCGTCTCTTTTTGTCTTTGGATATTATGGTGGCGCAGAATCGTGGAAAATTCTTAAAATTCTTCCATTTTAATTTTATTCCTTTTTTACATTTCCCCATTTCCCTCAGTGACTGAGCAGTTGACAGCCAATATTTGGATGTCAGGCCAAATCACAGCCTCCCTCCTGGCCCTCAGCCCCACATCCACACACTCGCACCTTACAGAGGGGAAAGGTGGGGTTGGGGGGGGGGGGTGGGGGTGGGGGAAGGAGAGAGAAGAGTCTCTGGACAGGACTAGGAGCAGGGAACCTTGGCTGATTTCCCCCTCCCTAACCACACACATGCAAACCATCACCCACCCCCAATCTTTAAGCCAATTGCAGCTCCGCTCAGTCACTTGAGCACAGACTGGGGATGGAACGTGGGCTCAGTGCTGCCCCCCTCCCTCCGGATTAGAAGATCAAATCCTGGTGCGTGTGCGGAGTGGGGTGGGAGGGGGAAAGGTGGCGGGTTTGAACCCACAACCTTCTGACTTATGAGGCCAGAGCGTGACTGACCTGACTCAAAGCCAGACTGACTGACGCTCAGAGTAAAGCTACAGTAATGTCTCCTTACCCAGGAAATCACAATCCAGCCCATCTTCACCATCAGTCAGTAAGGGCGGCTGGAATCTTTTGGCCGTTTTAGCTGAACTTTTAACCTCTTCATCCCAATCTGAAAACCGTTCATAGCTTGGATGGCAGCCTGAGCACTGGTGGGGTTATCAAAACTCACAAAACCTTGATTAAAAAAAATTATAATAATAAAAAATAATAATCATACACCTCACATTCTTATATAGCTCCCTTTATCACAGCCCAAGGTGGACGGGATCGGTTACAAGAAATGGAACGAGGGTGCGAAACAGAGCTGCAATATTCAGCAATAAATGCTTTGACTCAAAACGCCTTCAATTAAAAAATTATTTCAAAAAAGGCCCCTCAGACTGAGCCAAACGGGAAGCCAGCTCTGTATCTGCCGAGCAGCAGGTTCATTATTGGTTCACTTCTCCTGCGTGAGAATCGCTCACTCCAGAGAACCTCATGAATTATTGCCACGTGGCACTCAGTTTAAAAGCAAGAGCACAGCTTGGTCGCAAGCGCGGAAATGATGGATGTAAACATCATAGCGGTTTGACAGGAGTGTCCCTTTAAAGAAGCCGTTAAAGTCATATACACCCCCCACCACCACCCCCTCCTCTTCAGCGAACGAATGGAGAACCTTTGCTTACAGTGGTATTTGCCCAGTGGTGCATTTTGCTACAGCACACACATACACACACACATACACAGCCCTCTCTTTCACACCCTTCAGGCCCGACAATCATAGTCGTAGCAGTTTGACAGGGGTGTCCCTTTAAGGAACCTGTTAAAGACGCACCCCCACCCCCTCTCGCCCCACCAGGATTTTTTTGTCCCCACATTGGGAGCACTCACCGAAGCACTTGCTCTGATTGGTCGCACGATCCATGAAAACCTTGGACGAGATCACGGAGCCGAAAGGCAGGAACATGTGCATGAGCTCAGTGTCTCCAAACTCCTGGGGCAGGTGGTAAATGAAGAGATTGCAGCCTTCAGGGCCTGGGCGAGCAGAGGAAAACAGTCAGGAATTAAACACTCCACTGGCCCGCAACACACACTGTTTAAACTGCGCCTTACAGTATCGCCTCACACTGCCTCAAAGTGCTTTGGGACGTCTTACGACGTGAAAAGCGCTGCGCCAAAGTTATTATTATTATCATCATCACGTTATTACATTTTAAATCACTCTGTAGGGGTAGTGCTTGAATGGCCACTCAACGTATGTGTGGGGTGAGCAGGGGGAAACGGGGCAAATAGATTGCTCGTTTAAGAGAGACACGATAGGGCCATACGGACCCCTTCTGTGGTTCTACGGTTAAAGGTATGAAAGGTGCAAAAAAAAAAATGCTTCTACGATTTTACACTCGTTACGCTCAATTACGATTCAGCTGAGACGTCTCGGCAAATGATCGGCAGGATAAGCAGAGCCTGTGATCTGAAGCTCTACAGTCCCGCTGGGATCCAAGCAGGTCGGGCAATCACACACTGGAGTGTGTGTCCCTGCGGAGGATGAGTAAGTAGCACGGCTCCTGTGGCTCCCTTCTATCAGAATATACTGTAAAGTGAATTGACTGTATATTGTGTGGGCGAAACGTGGCAGCCAATTGCGCACGGCAGCGTCCCACAAACAGTCGTGGATTGAGTGACCGATTTATTACTATTTATTTTGTTGGAAAGAATTATTTCTCCCGGTAAAAGCCATCCGCCAATCGACTAACAACCGGGTTCCTACTTACTGCTAGCTAAACAGAGGCGTGTGGAGTGAGGAAACTTGCCCAACGTTTCGCCCTGCCTGGCCGAGAATCAAACCCGGGTCCTCTCGCTCGCAAAGGCGAGCGCTCTAGTCACTGAGCTACAGGACTCCACAATGCGACTCACCTTCTCTCTGCTGTGTTACCACAGGAGCCGGCTGTGGGAAGGCTTGGCTGATCTGGCCAATAGCTGTCGGGTACATGGCTGCCGATAGATAGCAAGAAATAAAACGCAGATTAAAAGCCAATGCACATCTATTAACGCAGCCGCTCGCTGACATTTACCCTCTAATATCCCTGCTCGTCGTAGTCGAAAAACCCACTCGAGAAAGTGAATGGTCTCGTAACTTCTGGCATGTTGCCTCCCGCCTTCCTACCTCTGAGCTGCTGACTGTAACACGTACAAGATTTAACTAACACGCGCGGAAGCAACGAGGCTGAACACCCGAAATGCTTAGCACCTGATAATTGTGCAACAGATTCAGTAAAGAGCCCGGTTTCAGCACCGCCCGCGGGGGAAAGCGAGATGTTAAAGGGAACTTCAAACTCGTGGGGAAAACGGGAGAAATATTAAAACGTCCGTCACCTGTGTATTGTTGGACGCCTGTAAAGGCCTGCTGGAGGGCATCGGCTGCTGATGGGCTTTGTGCTGTGAGAGAGCGGGAGAGAGAGAAAGAGAGAGAGAGAGAGAGACGAGGAGGGGGAGAGTGAAGAGGGGCAGACATGGAGGGGTCGAGAGATATGGAGGGGAAGAGGGTAGGAGAGAGACGAAGAGAGAGGAAGGGACATGGAGGACGAGGGAGGGAAAAAAGAACACATAAAATGTAAGAAAAAGGACAAGGTGGAATTTTCAAACCAGTAAAGGGTTATAAAAAGAATAATTATGAACAGGGAATTAATTTTTTTTAAAAAATTAGAGGAAAGAGAGATGAGGAAGGGGTAAATCAATAAGGGAAGGAAAGAGAGAGCAAAGATAGAGGAGATAGAAGGAGGAAGAGGTAAATTAGTCAATGTCCTGTTCTCATGAAGACATTTATCTTCAGCCAACAGTATTTTGACAAAAGTTTGATCGCAAAATGTTCCCAAAAGGTCACATCTTAGCTGCAGTAATAGCTTCACTTTTTTTTACACACACACACACACACACACAGTAAACTCCCGATGATATGACCCTGGCTTAACTAGTCGCCACCACTTAAGTCATCACGCTGTCAATATCTCGGTCACATTATTTATGTCTTGATACACGTGCCTAACTCGCCACCCCTGATAACTCGTCACTGAGCCCTTTTCCCTTGGAGTGACTAGTTATCAGGAGTTTGTGGTAGGTGCTTTTAACTGTGTTCTGGGCTCAGAAAGGGGCTATTCCACAGCAGGAGGCAAAGCAGACGAGGAGAGAAGTAACAACAGCAGCAGCAGCAGCAAATTGCATTCATTCAACGCTTTTCACGTCTGGAGGACGTCCCAAGGAACGAGCGGTGATTTTGCCCCAACAGAGATCAGCGTTGTTAACTGCAACATAGGAACGCAGGAGCAGAAGGTGGCCATTCAGCCCCTCCAGCCTGTTCCGCCATTCTATTAGATCTGTACCTCAAGTCCAAATACGGCGCTAAAAAAAAATCCAAGGTTAAAACCCACCTGGATAGGGGTGGATTCCGTTGGTGTAGACTGCCTCCACTGTGTGATGCCCGTTGGGCTGGGCGGACAGGCCAGTGAAGCCGTTCACTGTGATGGGGGACACGATGCTGGGCACGGGGGGGGCTGCCATGCCGGGTGGTGAGGACAGCCCTGAAACGAGAGCGACGTCCAAAGGAAGAGTAAATCCTCCCTTCAGGCTGGCAAGTTATTGGCACAAACACATTGCGCCCTGACTAGAGGCTCTCGCAGGAGATCGTGACACAGGTTGGTGCCGAGAGTAGCTATGAACCTGGCTGCGTTGGAACCAAAGGCAACCGGGAGCAACTCAGGCTAATCAGCTGGCTTCCGCAACGCCCCCACCCCCCTAGCGCTCCCCCCGCCCCCCACTCCCCGCCCTACCTCCCTCCACCTGTGAAGTAACCGTGGCGTTCGGGTACCCAGAGACATTCCATGCCCCGCGCGGCCTCACCTGAGGTGGGTGTGATGGGGGTGGCAGTTAATCCGTTCAGGTTGATGGCAGCCACGTGGTGCATCTGTGCTGCCGGAAAGGCCGGGCTGGGACTCAGGTACCCGGTGTGTGTGCTGGCGGCCATCAGGGCGGCTTGCTGCTGCATCAGCTGCCTCGCAGCAGGGAGAGAGCAGGGATTAGTGCGTCTTTCACACTGATACATCACCTGCTGCTCAACTGCCAGCCACGTAGCAAAAACCACTCTCACCGTCAGCTACAACACGGGTTAGACGCACAGCAAAGCCGCCTCTACACCGGCCACTCAACGCTCCCTGGTCGGAATATATATGGTACGGTATATAAAGTGTAGTGACTGTGCATTTTGTATTTCTGTGTAGCGACCGATTTTATCTGGGGGGGAGGGGAGTGGGGGGGAATTATCAGCCAGGATGCTAGGAGATAGAAATATCTTTCGCTTCTCTTTGCAAATAGCGTTATGGGATCCTTAACGTCCACCTGAACAGGCACAGGCAGGACCTGGGGTTTAATGTCTCATCCGAAGAACAGCACCTCCAACAAGGCAGTGCAACCCCCAGCATTGCAGTGGGGAGTCAGCCGAGACTGTACAAGTTCAAAGTCATAATCTTAAAAGTTCTCAAACATAATATTTTCCACTCCAGTGAGGGGTGGGAGGAGTGGTGCGGTGGGGATGGAGGGGAAGAAGAAATAGGGTCGTACTTTCGAGATCTCTCTTCATTGTTAAAAAGAAATCCCATTAAAAAATACATTACAAAAAGTCACAGCAAGATGCCTCAATCCAGGAGCCGACTGACTGCCTGTCTATTGATTGTTTAACCTGAATATCACGTCTCCTCCCAGTGTCCCAAGCTTGGCTTTAAATCAGACGCCCGGTCTCCATTCAGCAGTCATTTACCTTTAAGCAAAAGCTGTCACATTAGCGGGCCGAGGGCAGAGGGGGGCCAGCGATTCCCGAAGCAAACACGGGTCCTCGCAGTCCCGTTAAGTCAAGCCGCGTCGAGGTAAATCTGTAAACTTAGTTGGTACTTTCGCATAATATTTCCCTGTTGATGAATGAGGAGCGTCCGTTGTGTGTTTACGAGGATGAATTAGTCTGGAGAAGGCGAGGTGATGCCGTGGCACTGCTGTGAATTTTAATTGCTTGTGCTCCTGTCTCACGGGCTAAGGCCTCCTGCCCGTCACTGCCAGGCGCGAGGATTTGTCACGTTTTAATGCGTGGCAATGATATCTGCTCCGGGGGCTCGGAGTCAGATGGGTCCCTGGCGTGTGTGATGTTTTTAAAGGATCAAACCCTTAACCCCTTTTTGCACGGCGCTCCCCATCCGCCCCCCACTCCTCCCCCACCCACCCACCCACCCAACCATCAGCCCCCACCCCAACTTGCCCACTCAGCGATTTCTATTGCACGCTTTCTTAGAATTTTTACAGCGCAGATTAAGCTGTGTTGGGCCCCTTATGCCAGCTCCAGCTCTCTCTCAAAGTGTCGCTTAACAGCAACGTGCATTTACCTAGCGCCCTTCACGCGGGTCAGGGTCTCGGAGCGCTTAGCAGCGATGGAGCACGACACCGAGCTGGGGGTGGGTGGGGGGAGAGGGGTGGGGGTGGAGGAGGTGACCGTAAGCACGGTCGGAGAGGAAGGTCACGTATTGACTCCCGCTGCACTGAACTCAAGCGGGTGTCGGTCTCAAAGGCAAAGGCTCTCTCTCCTCACCTCCCTGTCCTCCCCCACTCCAACACAAGTAACAATCCTTGCATTTGATACGGCGCCTTATCATGTCTTCGAGACGTCGCAAAGCGTTTCACAGGATACACTGTAAAGTGAATTGACCGTGTATTTTGTGGGCGAATTTTCGTTTGGACTCCAGCACTCCGCAGTCTCGCTGTCTCGGTTACTTACCGCCTGAGCGTAGGTGCTGTACGTGTTGTTAAACTGAAACGCCATTGGGTTGAACATCCCGAACTGTCCCACCATGTGCTGCATACGCCTCAGCGTACGCTCCTTGTCTGTGTCCGCAAACTTCACCACCAGGCTGGAGGAGGCTCCCTGGAGAGACGGAGAGTAGAGAGACCGTAAAAGGCCCAAGGGTGAGAGTGCAGGAGCCCCAGGGTGGAGAACCCCTAGAGTGCAGGAGCTGTGCTGGAGCTCATAATCAGCTTTAAGCAATAATTTATCCTGAGAGGATTGTTGGCCAGGACACCAAGAGAAACGTCCAAATAGCACCTTGGCATCTTTGCTGTCAGGCAGACAGGAACTCAGATGAACGTCTGATCTGAAGTACAGCAGCTATGACAATGCAGTACTGCACTGGAGTGATTAACGTAGACAGTGAGAGCTCAAGTCCGGACACAAAACTTTATCCCACAACCTTCTGACCCAGAAGTAAGAATACTAACACTAAGCCTTGGGAAAGTGGGGTGGGATGGGCGTTAGTCTCGGGTCCAGACCACAGATAGCTGCCTGGGCGACTGACTGAGTTGCAAACTCTGTGGTTGAGGGAGTGGAGATGCGGAGCTGGTGAATGGCAGTGACCCAACTAATGGGACAGCTCGAATCAATCAACTAATGGGCTGCACCCAGTGCTTAACTCACAATCTGCATCACTCAATTGCTTCTTAATACCACGGCCGTCATTATGCTGAAAATACTCCTTTTAGAAACATTGTTCTCAGCGTTAATCCCATTCCCTCCTGGAGGGGAAAAAAAAGGTTCCGAATGTGGAACGAGTACTGAACAGAAGACGGTCTTCTGCAATGAGTTTAGCTGAGACACTCAACAACAAGTTACATTTGTGCCACTCCAAGGCTTTTGCGTTGGGAGAGGATTTGCAAAGATTCAAAGGGAGTCGAGCTGGGTGGATGTGTGTGTGTGTGTGTGGGGGGGTTGTGGCTGAAAGCATGGTGTAAGAGGTAGGTTTTCAGGTGAGATTGGAACACAGGGAAGCAAGGAGGTGAGGGATTTCAGGAGAGTTCCAGACAGTGGGAGCAAAGAGTCTGATGGCTTGACCACCAATGGTGGGCGGAGTGGCGTGGGGCATATGAAGCAGGCCAGAGTTAGCGCAATAGAGGGAATGACCGGGTAGGGCAGCAGGAGATTGGAGGAGGGTGATCTTAAACCCGCCCAGCGTGGCGCTCACTCAGATATGGCCGTTCCCTGCCAAGAATTTCCTCTTGTATTCCCAGCGTCGCACTTCTTCAAAACAACGGCACTCGCTGACTTACGTTCTCCCAGGCAACACGAACACAAACAACCGCAAACGATCAGCGAAGAAGCTGAGGGGAACGTGGATGGAACCCGATGTCAGAAACTCACCGCCATAGTCTGGCTCCCATGAAGCGCATTGATTGCCACCTGAGCTTCCGTGTGACTGGAAAACTTCACAAAAGCACAACCTGCGGAGAGAACGCAAAAGAGAATCTCAGTCCTCGGGAGCCGTTTCCTGACCCTGGATGTGGGGTTCGTCCCAGGCACAGGCGGGAGCTGCTCTTACCGTCAGCAAGTTAACCCCGGAAAGAAAGAACCTGCTTTTTTTTTAACAGCAAAAAGTTCCAGAGGGCATCAATAGAAATTACCGTCAAGAGTAGCGAATCAAGGGGTGGGGGGGGGTGTGTGGAGGGTAGGCAAAGGGGGAGTGTGGCCGAAACTACGACCAAAGAGGAAAGATTTATAATAATAACCCTTGCATTTTGATATAGCTCCTTATCACATTTTCAAGACGCCTCAAAGAGCTTCGCAGAATATACTGTAATGTGTAGTGACTGTGTATTTTCTGGGCGAAATGCAGCAGCCAACTGCGCACAGCAGTGTCCCACAAACAGTCGTGGATTGAGTGACCAACTTTCCCCCTCCCTCTCTCTCGCTCTCTCTTTATTTCTTTCTTTCTTTCAAAGCAGGAAAGGTTTGAGGGAAAGAAATATCGGAAGGAAAGGGAGCCACTGCTGTTCCCCGCAAGGTTTCACCCATCTGAGCGTCAAAGGAGAGCTCCAACAGTAACACTCTCCTCCGGCTCCTCACCTTTGCTGTTGCTGTCGGGGCCTCGTAAAACCGTGCACTCTTCAATCCCACCGAAGGGCTCAAAGAGTCTGTACACGTCATCCTCCGTCTGCTGCTTGTTCAGCATCCCCACAAAAAGCTTCCTGTCTTCTGGAAAGAAACAGACTCGTTTAGTGCAGCTCACAACCCTGGGGCTGTTTTGTTTTTTTTGGTCATTCGACAATTGCAGAAAACCGTCACCGTCCTTAAGATTATCCAAACCAGACTGAGGTTCCATGCATACACTGTTATAATAATAATAATAATAATCCTCGCATTTGATACAGCGCCTTATCACGTCGTTCAGATGTCTCAAACCGAATTGACTGTATATTTGAGGGGCGAAACGCGGCAGCCAATTGCGCACAGCAAAAACCTGTTCTCCCCCATTCGCCAGATCCCAAGAGAGATTCGGGTGAATCCTCGGCCCATTTGGCCTCATCTTCCAGAATACCAACCTAACCTCACTGTCTTCTCATTGCAGCACCTTAAACAAGTCCCAGTTTCCTGGTCCTTCCTGGTAACCCACTCCAGCTGTTGATCACTCCTCTTTACAGTAAATCTCGGCATGCGCTATAAGACGTCTCGACGACGTGATAAAGGTGCTACACCAAATGCAAGGATTATTATTATTATCATCATCATCATTCATTTTGATTATAGAGAGGTGGGATCAATCACATTCCGGTCAGGAAGGTATTGCTCGGGGTTAAGGGAATGAGCTTAGAAGATGCGGAGAGTGTTTTTTTCCACTGTTAAAAGGTAAGGAGCTGAGGTTCTAATCCCCTGAATGGAAGCAGAGAGCCGAGCCAGAGCACAGAACAGACAGAAACTTATCTTGTGCAGCAAAACGATTCAGAGCCAATAAGACAAGGCGGATTTAAAATGTCAGCGCTTCAGGAGAGCGTAATCTGGAAGGTGTGACTGTAAGAGGTTTTTTTTTAAACACACACACACACACACCACCAGCTTAACTTCCAGGAAATAACAAAAACGCTGCCGGTTTCTTTCAGGTCTGAGAACAGGGATCAAATGGAGGCAGAGGAGTCGAGGCAACCGACATCATGCCATTTTTGTGGGACACTGCTGTGCGCAATTGGCTGCCGCCTTTCGCCCACAAAATATAGTCAATTCACTTTACAATATACACAGCACATGTGTACCATCTTAATGCCTGCCTGCCCCCATCTCTCTATCCACCTACCCCTCACACATCTATCTGTGCTCATCTCTTCCCTTGTCCTGTACCTTTGTCTCTGATCTGGTCTATACACCCACCTCTAATGTAGTGGGCTTAGCGCCTCTCTCTGCTCCTATTCCCCCCACCTCACAATCACCTGCTTCTGTGCAAACTCCTGCGCTCTCCTCTTTCACGACAACAACAACAACAAATCACATTTATATGGTGCTTTTCACGTCGGGAGGACGGCCCAAGGCGCTGGAGGGTTTGCACCCGAGCTGGGGGTTTTGGGTGGAGGGCAAAGGAGGCCGGGGGGGGGGGCGGTGCGAGACGGAGGGCTATGGGATGGAGTCCTGTGTGCACCCGGTCACCAGACCCCAGTCTCTTTGCCACATCCTCTCACTGGAGTAGCTGCTGAAATTATTTTTCCTGGGAGACAGATGCACATTTACGGTTCTAAGGATTACTCGCAATCAGATGCACATTTACGGTTCTAAGCGCGCAATCAGGCGACAGCAAGGTTCGTCGGATTTGTGAGGAAGGAAGACCCATTGTCTGGGGGAAATGTTTAACCCCAGTGTTTTCCTCTCGGTGTGTAACTCTTAAAACAGTAATTGTGCCGTTTGGATTCCAGACAAAGAGACACAAAGACAGGCCCCGCGATGCTGCAACAAGGCAGACAGAGTGGGAGAAATAGGCCATCAAGAGGGATTGTCTTGAAGTCTGTCCGAGGATCATCAAAAGAGATGGAGAGAGAGATGTGCACGGATGTGCGCGCAAGTACACACACATGCATATCGTGCGCGCACACGAACACACGGACGCGTGTGTGTGTGTGGGGGGGGGGGGGGGGGCCGGAGGAAGGCAGCAGTTTTTATAACAGATAAAATATTGATTCCATCCTCGCCTCCAGCAGGTGGCAATGAACTTTCCGTCTCCCCCCTTCCCTCCCTCACACCACCCCAACCCCCACCCCCCCACCGCATCAAGCAAAGAAGATGGATTCCACCCTTCAGCACCGAGGCAGGCAGTCAGTGCAGCTCTGACAACAAGAAAATGATGAGCAGCCGAGGAGAGAGCGAGACTGCAGGAGCAACAATTTGCACTTATACATCGTCCCTCACGCAGGGTAGCGTTTCAGAGCGCTTAAGCGCGCAGGAGGGCCCGCTAAAGGCAAAGCAGTCTCCCTGACCCGCTGGCAACACATGGTTAATTCCTGGTGTTTCACTGTCATCTGGTGACCGGGAATGAATGCACTGAATTGCGGAGGCGGACGGGCGGCAAGAAACCAGGCGAGGTTTTTATTTGCAGTGTGCCAGTGCCCCTCGCGTGGTAGAGTACCAACGCACAGGGCGCTGAGAGCGGGCACCCTGCCGCTGTGCTGGCTGGTGCCAACGCCGATGTGCCTGTGCCCTACTGGATGGACAAATCGATATGCGGAGAATGTCCCAAGATCGCTGCTCGCTCAGGCAAACGTTCCTGCCGGGCCTGATGCTGAGCTAACGTCATAGAAAGTTCACTGCCACTGCCCTTGCCTAATTTGTGCTGATTTGCCCAAATATTTTGCGATATGCCAAGACAGCGGGACAAGGGAGCACAAGGCACAAGGGCATGCTTAGGGCAGACACCAGGAAGTATTCCTTTACACAGGGGGTTAATCAACAGCTGGAACAGCTGTTACTAGGAAACATACTTGAGGCCAGGGAAGGAAAGTCTGCTTTCTCTCCTCAAGGTGGAAAAGTAATACATCAGTTATGAAATGAAAATACTTTACATACACCAACAACAAGAAATCCTGACATTCCTTCGCCATCCAGCCCAGTTTTTCCCCCACCCTTGCCCAGAATATTCAATATCCGTATTCTCCAACACAACATTTAGTCCATCAAAATAGAATTAAAAGGTGTTTCTTTGCTGAAAGATGCCCTTTGAGAGGAGAGGTGAGCACGGCTGGCTAAGTGCTTGGGTAAATGGCTCATTTCTTTCTTCTGGTTATTAAAGAATTGCTAACACGAGGCAGCTTTAGCCTGAATATTAAAAAAAAACTGAACCGCGGCAGTAAGTCACGGAGGAGATTTATTTTGCTCTTCGCACTCTGCGCTTTTTTGTCACACAAATTGAAGCTAATTATGATATGAGTGTTATAAAATTCACTTTGAGTGTGTAATGGCCTCCTCTGTATCTGCAGATGAAGCCCTTAATGAAGGTTCCTCCATTACGGAGCTGTGCTGTCCTGCTAATGAGGTCTCACACTGTTCATCCATCTGCCAGCGGGCCACTCCATCAGCTGCCTGATCTGTTTGGATAAGGCCCTTTCGGTGCGAGCTTTCGAAAGCTTCATTCATACCCCGTGCTCATTACTTAACTCTTTTCAGTGCCACAAATTTGCAATGTAATTAAAGTGGTTCACAATTCTATTTATAACACACTACAGCCTGCTCCACATCTCCCCTCCCCCGCCCCGCTATTGGCGGTCAGGCCCCTCACCCTTTGCAACTCCATCCCACGGTCCCTTCGTCTCACTCCTTACCTCACCTCCTTCAAGGCCCGTCTCAAGACCCTCCTCTTTGATCACGCCTTCGGTCACCCTCCTACCCCCATCCTCCCTGACCTCCACTCCTTCTGATCCCAACCTCCCAGCTTGGGTGCAAATCTTTGACTGTCCAGCACCTTGAGACAGACATTCTCCCGACACAGACACAAAAGGCGTTGTGCAAATGTAATTTGTTGTTGTTGTGATATGCTGTATGTTACACGCTCCAGCCCGTGTATTATCCTGTGTGTATCCAGGTGCTTCTCTTCTTGTTGCCTATATCCTCACTACTGCTGAAACCAAACTCGTCACACCATCTACTCCTCCAACTCTTTCTTCCCCAGGACCTCAAATCAATGGATTCTTTCTTCCCCCTCAGTCTTCCCTACCTCCTTTACTCTACAGGACTCCTTTGTCCCTCATCCCTCTCTTCTTCCTGAAGGCTACAGGTTTTTAAACCCCAGCTTAGCTTTGCCTAACCACCACTTGGCATTGGTTCGTTTGTGCTCTGCAATTTTACACACCTCTGCAAATTACTTATAAACATCAATCGATTTTGTGTCAAGCACAGTATTAAAGACACAGGAACCCAGGCTGGCCCAACTGACTGAAAGCTTCTCTCTCTCTTTTTCTCTCACTCGTGGCTGGCTCAAGTACTGGGTTTGGGACAGTGGAGCAGGTGTTTGCTCACAGTGAAAAACCAGCACTAACACTACATTTGATGTAGCGCCCATATAGATATAGTGCTTCACAGATGATTGCTGTTAAGTGTAGTGAGTGTGCAGCTGTAGGCAAACGTTGCACCCATTTGCCCCCATCAGAGTCGCACACAAGCCCATGAGGTGAGTGATGAATTTACCTGGATGACTGACTATTGCCCACTGACTATTAAGAGTTGATCCTTTTTGCACACTGTACGGTTAGTTGGAGAACGAGTTAGGAGATGGAGATGGAGCAAAACTCCAGCTTCACCTCCAACATCTCTGCTGTGTAGGCACAAATACCCCTCGACCAAAGGTCCCCTCTCCCCTTCCCAACGCTGGGAAGGGCGGGGGGGGGGGGGGGGAGGGGGGAAGAGGAGGTGGGAGGGAAAAACTCAATCCATTCAAAACAGTTAATAACTGAATCTTTATCTCACCCTCATACACACACACACACACAGACAGACACACAAACACATACACAAACAGTGTGATTAAGTTGTGGTGAATTGTCACATAATCACTAAACGTTGGCTTATTGCTGAATCTCATCCACTCAGCATCGATCCTCATTGTGGTACTCACACACACACACACACACACACGGACACACACATACACAGACATACATGCGCACACAGCTAATAAGCCAGCATTTGCCTACAGAGGGGGAGGTCAATGGTGACCGGTTTTCCAAAAATCTCTCTCTCTCTCTACCCTCGTCCGACTCTTAGAATTACAGTCAACACATCTGACAGGCAACTTGATTGGGCTTCAAGCTCCTTCCAGCAACGGGCAGAATTTAACACCAGCAGCCGCTGGTGAATTTACAGGGGTTTACGCTGTGTGTCAGACCTGTCTCCAGCGAGATTAATGAACCCTTCACAGATGTGCTCCGGGTGTAAGCTCTGTTTGTAGATGGGCTGATCTGCCATCGCCCCTCACTCCAGCTAACGCTCAGGACTTAGGCACAAATCCAAACAAAATTGGATTTCACACACACAAAACGCACACACACACACACATACACACACAGAACCGTTTCACAGATAACTCGGGGAGTGTGTTTTTTTTTGGAAAACAAATCTCTTTCTTTGAAAACTTTTTTTGAATTTGATCACACGTAGCCCAGCTGGCAGACTGATCCCGCTATGCGATGTCGAATGGAAAGAAGGCACGGCTTAAACGGCTTTTTAAATAAGTTTACTTAGGACTCATTTACGTCAAACTTCAGTTAGGACTCATCTGCAACAAGCCTTAATTAGCCTTGAAAGTGGCTCACGCCCAATGGCTTGACATGTTATCCTTCAGGTCACCTCTTACTCGCAAATAAAATGCTTGTTGTGTGTATGTTTCTTTTTCTCTAAGTGTGTGTTTTTCTCTTTCCACGTGCATGTCTCTCTCTTTAAATCTGTCTCTCTGGGTGTCTCTCTTTCTACGTGTGTAGTTCTCCCACTATCTTTGAGCATCTCTCGCTCTCTCTCTTTCCTTGTGTGTGTGTATTTCTTTTTCTTTCTGTATGTCTTTGCATGCGTTTCTCTCTCTCTTGGTGAGTGATTGTCTCTCTTTCTCTCTCTCCTGCTCTGAACATTTGTGTGTGTGTGCATCCCTCTCTCTGTGTTGACATAATAAACATAACTGTTGAGGACAGTATGGGGCAGAGAGAGGGAGTGAGAAGTGTCCTATTGCTGCACCTCGAACAAGATAAGTATCCACTGCTGGGTTTGGGCACTGTGACCTTTTCCACAATAAACGAACAACATTGCAGACATTCACACAGAGCAATTTGACCTCAATAAAAGCGTAGATTATAATGAGCAAAAAAACGGGTCAGTCACAGAGAAAAAGGAAACTGGTACCTCCACGGCTCTCACTGTCAGCCGGCTTCACCTGGATGGGACGATTCATCTGTGGAAACGAAAAGGAAACTGGATATCAGAACCTGCACTGAAAGCGCAAACTTCAGCCAGTTTACACATCGCTCTCGCTTCACACACAAGGAGCTCCCGACGTGTGGTTCACGACCGCTTAGCCTCCAACAAAAAGAGATTCACAGCAAACTACTGTAAATACATCACTGGGTAAGGAGAGAGAACGATATTGAATCATTCATTCAAAACAAAGCGTTTGCTTCGAACCTGTGCCACTGGGTGTTTTGAACCCAACCCTTGGGGCTCGACTTGAGGGACGGAGAGTGTAAGTTGGGGGGAGAGAGCTCATACAACCTGTAGCAATTGAAGGAAAAATCTGATAATTTTATCTGAAAAATAATAGTAATAGTCCTTGCATCTGATTTGGTGCTGTTTCACGTCAGGAGGACATCTCAAAGTGCTTATCAGGGATAATAATAACAATAATAATCCTTGTATTTGATATAGCGCCTCATCACATCTTCGAGGCATCTCAAAGCGCTTCACAGAATATACTGCAAAGTGCAACCATTTTGGTCGCCCAACAAAATAATCACAGAAATAACAAAATAGCCATAGATATATGCCGTGAATCAAGAAATATTCAATCGAGAAGCAATTTGTTTTGTTGGTTGGCCAAAGAGGTTGGCCACCAATGGTGTAACCAATGGGCCTTTGGTAGGAAAAGCCACGATAGCAAAGCCCAGGATTGTTTGGAGCTGTCACTTTCTTCCTGGCAAACAGGCATCACATCCATTCGGATCCCGGGAACGCTGCCAGTTCCAGCACTTTGGGAAGTCCTCCCGGGAACGGTTTAACTCCACAGCACATGCTACTGAGAAGCAAAGGGATTCTGAGATGGAATTCCAGTGAGTGGGGGCAGAGAGGCTGAAGGCCCAACTGTCATTGACAACCTACATACACTGCAAGTAAAAGGCGCTTTACAAATGTAATGTGTTGTTGTCGTCTCAAAGAGCCTTCACGGTTTTTATTAACTGTAACGTGTAGCGACTGTGTATTTTTGTAGGCAAACGCGGCAAGGAATTTGCACCTATCATCGTCCCGCACACGGCTACGAAGTGAGTGACCAATTATTTGTCTGCACCACAGCGTGAAGTGGGATGGGGCACGTCGGAAAATACTGACCGGAGCGCGAGCCGGAATCTCCGACACTCGGTGCCTGTGCTGAGCCTCCTTCCCGCGGATCTGACAATTTCCTGTCTCCGGCTGCCCGAGAAACTAGGACTTGGCAGCTTAGCTGCTGCCGGCAGGCTGGGCGATGACCCACATACACTGCAAGGAGCTACCTGGAAATGTCACGTTTACCGACAGTGAGCCTGCACTTACACATGTAGATATCAGCCTCCTCCAGTGGAAATAAATATAAAACTGCACGCAGGCCGTAAAGAGTCCAGGTGCACTCGTCACAAGTGCCTTGGGAAGTTCTCCCGACGTGAAAGGCGCCAGCTATGTAAATGTGATTTGTTGTGGTCGTCGTTGCACTCACCCAACATGTCCTCATCCACCATCTGGTGGGGAATGCGAGTGCAATCCGCTCAGTGCTGATGGCAGGTTTCAGATCAAAGAGTGCGCGTGTATGTGGGTGTGCGCGTATATATTTGGCTTGGAGATGGAAACGGTTGAGTCCACAGCACTCGCTGCTGAGAAGCGAAGGGATTCTGGGATGGAGTTCCAGAGGGGAGGAGGGTGGGGGAAAAGAAAGGCTGAAGGTGGGATTGGGCAGGGGACGTGGAGCAGGCCAGTGCCTACCGAAGAGGAGAAGAAGGGGAAACTCTGTCATTGGAATGATTGACGCCTCATCAGAGATTTTATTCCTGGAGTCTGAAGTACTGGGGCGTAAAGGATTAAGGTGCAGAATGATGGGACTTATGGATTTTACTGCCTTTAGCAAAAAACAATCTGACGTATCTTAATCCAGCAGTGCCATCCCATGCAATCCAGGCTTGTTGTATCTCTTGAGGGGAATCCACAGCTGTCTTTATACACAGTTTCTTCCCCTACTCGACAGACGGTCACTACACTCTGAAAGTAATTGCTGTGAAATGCCTCGAGACATTTCTTCACTAAGAGCTATAAAAATGCCAGCTCTTTCTCCGTTTCTAAATCAGAATCTCTTACAGAGCTCACGGCTGCTGCAAACTAATCCCCAGGGGGAGGTAGGCAGGGCATCCCTGTTATAAGCCTGGTTTAACATCTCCTGTTCCTAATGTTCCAATGTCTCTTCACATCCCAAACTGTTGGAAGGCAGGGAACTGCCCACATACAACAGTACCTGGATGGTCACTGCCACACATTCATCAAAAATATTGCCTCAAACAGCAATCCGGTAGTTCTCATTGGAAACAGGGACAGGAATAGCACTGGAAGAGTTAAGGAAATACTTTACCACCTATAGCGGGGGAGTGGGACTGCTATAGCAGCGGACTGGGACTAGTTGGATAGCTCTTTCAAAGAGACGTCACAGGCACGATGGGTCGAATGGCTTCTTTCTGTGTTGTAAGAATTTAGGATTCTATGACTCTCAGTGCTCGTTGAACCTGAGGCTGTAACGTATAAAATGGATAAATATTTCAAGCGGAATATAAAAGAATACGAGGAAAGAGCAACAAAATGGGACTGGAGGAGAGAGCTCCATTGGGGGGGAGCCAGAATTGGCACAGGATATGCAGCAAGGCAATGGGATGATAGCAGTGGGGAGCTGGCACCAAATTGGGTTCAGTGGCCTCCTCCTGGGCTGTGATTTCTGTGAAAACGCTGAATATTTGCGGTTACAGGCCACCACCCACCAACTGCCAGCAGGAGACATCTCTATCAGGCTGGCGCTGAGCGAAAGATTCTTCCGTCATGAGTAACAGAGACAAATAGAAATAATGAAAATGGGGTCTTTGCTTTGCCAGTCCGGCTCCATAGCGGAGAACGCAGTACACAGGAGCCACAAGTACTATTCCACTTGTCCGGCAAATACCAACCACATTTTATAACAAGAACAACAAAATTACATTTGTAAGGAGATGTTCTGCTTTTCGATACAAGGTGAGATGCATCTTGATGAGTAGTTGCATTTGACTTGCATTTGATTTAGTGCCTCATCGCATTAGGAGGATGTCTCACTTCCTATCATTCCTCTAAAGAACAATGACTGCCCGTTTTGTGGTCAAACACGGCAGCCGGTTTGTGCACAGCTATCTCCCATGAACAGCCATGGAATGAGTGACCAATTTTACCTGGGGCATTGTCGACTAGGACTAGAAGTAACTCCCTTCTCTTTTTGAGTAGTGCCACTTCCAAAAACACAGCACTCTCCACCCTCACTCCCCCCCACCCCCATCACTCCCAAGCAATACACTGGAGTATCAGCATAGACAATGTGCATTCAAACTCCTAACTTGGAGGTGAGAGTGCTACTGACTGACGCAGATATATTCTCTGGCCTAAGTATCTATTTTACAATATTTTGCCTCCATTTCCAACTGCCTCTTATATTTACACACCAAGTCTATATGACACAAGGCAAAACCCTCTCCCACCCACCTTTCTGCCCATGTTAATTAACAGATGACACTGACAGTAGGTTTCAATAAGAAAAGGCATCAAAATGATCATTTCCACTCCTTGGTTCCCTCTCACTGATGTACCATGGCCTTTATTTGAACTATTTTATTTATAAAGATTGTATTTGATGATTTAGTGATTTTAATGATTCCATCTTTACATTATTTATTTAATGATTTATTCATATATGCACGGGCACTGCAATCTTCGGGTTTTGCAATTTGTTTGATGACAGATTTATTAGCTAATTAAGAACAACTATACAAACTCATTCTTCCCCCCTCCCCCAACTTTCTTTTAGAAAATACACAGCTGTGCTTTTGTAAAGCAGTTCACTAGATAGCGAGTCTGTTGAGAACAGTATGTTGTGGACCCACAATTATTAGGAGTTCTTGTTTTGGGGTTGGGGGTGGTGGTGGGTGGGGAGGGAGGGGGGGGAAATAACACCAGCAAAGACACATTCTTTCTTCCCCCACCCTACACAATTTGTTGGGCCACTCACAAACGCAAGCATGGTAAACCAGAAAGCTTTATTGTAATGTACAGGGCCACAGAAAGTTGTGTTTTTTTTTATAATTTTGCCAAAAAAAGCCAATTATTTTTTTTCTTTTAAGGAAACCTGACACCGTGGCTAACTAACTACTCTTGCTCGCCCCTTCTCCAGCCTGCTCTGGCTCTCCGAGCACATTGCATGTATGTCCCCATTGCATTAATTAAACACAAACGCATTGTCTCGACAGCGTGGGCAGAGAGGTTCAGCGCAAGCAAAAGAGACAGGCAAAAGGTCAAGCCCGTCAGTCTCCTAGTCTGTGCTTCGTCTGCCAATTAAGGCATGACACAAGGAGCCATTGTTATTCAATTAAAACCATTTTTGTTTACCCCTCATTTTCAATTAATTTGGGTTTTGTTTTTATTTCAAAATGGGGGGGGGGAGGGGGAGGGGGGGCTACGGTCCAGGAGGAAGAGTTCTGCAAAAGCTGCAAATGTTGAGAGCCATAATTCTGCTTCAGAGCCTCCAGAATAATGTATGTGTGCGCACCTGTGTGTGCATGTTCTCATGTGCCTTCCTTGTTCAGTGTCTATCCCCGGCCCTGCACAGCACTCTTGAGACATTACCCTACATGAAGGGCGCTATATAAATGCAAGCTGTCGGCGGTATGGGTGTGTGTGTGTGTCTGTGGAGGGAGTGGGGGGGGGGGAGAAGAGAATAAAAAAAAGGAGAGAAAAAAACATCACCCTGGTTTCATGCTCCTTATCTCAATCCTCTGAAACTCCCTGCCTCAATCCCTCCTCCTCGCCTTCTTTTTTGCCCGCTTTCAGATGGCAAGCGAAGACTTTCTCATCGCCTGTGCCAGTTGCTGCCCCTTTCAGCATAGGCTTGGCAGTGTCTTTGAGGAGTGTCCAGCCAATTAGCTTCGGTTGTTG